GAGAGAGAGAGAGAGAGATGCAAGAAAGGGGGACTGTGAGATTACACACACACAAGCACTTCAAGGACAGCAATTAATCTAGTACAGTTGAAGCACACACACACACAAAGACAGCTCCCAGTCTGCACAGAGAGGCTACAATGCAGATTATTTTACTAATTAAAGGAAAGTAGATATATTATGGGAAACACACTAACCAAGTTATAACAAAAGAAAGAAGTACCACCTTTCAGTTTGTTAGCTAAAGGTATTGTATCAAGGCATAGAAGCGACATCATTCACATATGAGAAAGCAACATCCATAACAATGTAATACACGTTATTAACATCTAACTCTTTTGTGTTGACTAATGTTAGACAAACAGGATATGACGTAATTCTTTCAGCCCTGAATTGATAATACAGAGATGCTCCAGAGTGAATCCATCTGAGAGGTTAGCTACGCCTGAAGAAGGTACACCACATCACTGTGAATAGTTAACCACAACATTCTTAAAACCTGGAGAAGATTTATATAGTGAACCACTATCGAATAGTGAGTTAATTTTGTTTGTGGATGGATCATGTTTAGATTTGCATATGGCATAAAATTAGTTTGTTCTCCCCGTGTCTGCGTGGGTTTCCTCCGGGTTCTCCGGTTTCCTCCCACAGTCCAAAAACATGCAGTCAGGCCAATTGGAAATGCTGAATTGCCCCTAGGTGTGTGTGTGTGTGATTGTATATGTATGTCTGTCTGTCTGCCCTGCGATGGACTGGCGACCTGTCCAGGGTGTATCCTGCCTTCCGCCCAATGACAGCTGGGATAGGCTCCAGCACCCCACCGCGACCCAGAAGGATAAGCGGTTTAGATGATGTATGTATGTATGTATGTATGTATGTATAAAATTAGTTCTGACAATGGCCAACACTTTGTTAATAAAGTTACTGACCTAATCACACAGACATTAATTATTAATTAATGATTAAATGTAGATTGGGATGTGTATATCATCCATAATCGCAGGGCATAGTTGAATGTCAAAATTGAATTCTTAAAGTTAAAATTGCTAAGATATGTACAGCAAGCGGACAGAAAATTAATTGGCTAAATGCTCTACCATTAGCTTTAATGAGTATGAGTGCTGCCCAGAGACTATGTCTACATAAGGGTCTTCAGAAGAGGCTGGACTGAACCAAGATGTGAGGGCCCTTCCAAGGTGGTCCTAGCAACTCCAACTGCAATTAAAGTGGAAGGACGAAAGGTGTGGGTCCATCTAAACCATTGTTCCAGAGCAGCGCCTGCGCTGAGACCAGCGACTGAACAACCACCAGCACAACAAGAAGAACATGTCCACAAGGATGATGAATCCCAAGAGCCTGGACCAAGTGGAACTTCCAGACCAATTACTAGCCAAAAAGTTTGCCAAGGATTGTGTGGGACAGAGACAAAAGGGACATGCAAATGCAAATCAATCTTGCTGTTGTCAGTGGTTTCCAATTGTACACAAGAGCCTAATTGTGTTGGACCAAGTGTTACACCTAGCAGGAAAAACAATGGGCTACAATGTGTGTTCTCTTTTGCTACTGCTTAGTAATAATCACTCACTGCCTGCAGGTGATTCCTATGTGACATATAGGAGCACGGGTACCAAAGCATATTTATAAGACATTAAAGGGAAAATAAGAGAAATAGGGATTTTAAAAGCTGATCGATGTAAAGTTTCAATAAGAATGACAGTAGGAGCAAGGTGTGAGTTAGTCCTCTGTCAAGGATATAAGTGTGAACCAATCATCTGACAATTAAGAGAAATAATTCCAAAGGAGTTGTTGTTCAAAAATGTAAGGCACATGAGATGATGAAAATAGGACAAAAAGTTATAGAAGACACATTAGATGAGACTAATCGGAAGAAAAAGGATGGTTGTCACAGAATATGCTTCTCAAAATATACTGTATCGTTACTTACATTATACTGCTGAAATCAACATGAAGACTGTATTACTTGCCATTCCAAACATGTACCAACTATAGTGGCTATAGGAGGATTAGAGGAGTGTTGGGAAAGTGTTACAATCTGCCTTTACTCTGTTTACTGGATAGTTTAAGCCCAGAGGTTTTTAGAAACAAGGGTTTCGACAATTGTACAGCTATGAGCAAACCTGTTACAGCTCCACCTCTGGTAATTAAGGATGGTAGATTAAAATATCCTTTTTGTTTTTGTCTAGAAGAAGATAATGAGATTAATAGCTTTGCTATTAGATATGATAGAAAGTTAAATGCCAGTATTCAAATAAAAACTAAAGGGAATGTTACCTTTGACATAGGCTTTACTGTAGGATCTAACCCTGTAGCAGACATATTTAGGATTTGTAAAGAAGGAAAAGAACTACTACAATCCTTATCAGATAATTAAGCTCCATTTACTCTTAGTGGGACAGTTCTTATATTTGCATGGGGAGAAATAACAACTAGACATAAGAAAGACATTACTTGGCAAGAAAACAAACCAACACTAAATTGGGCAGGTGTTCCTGTTAATGTACCACCAGAGTTTAAAGCCATGTCAGATGCGAGCTTAGGAGGTTTATCTGTGTTTTTACCAAGTATTCAAACATCACAAAATGCCAAATGGATAAATAATATTTGGTATAATCAACAAATGAATTACACTATCAAAGCTTTAGAATTGCTGGGTCAGCAACTAGATGCTGCTTCTCGTATGGCACTACAAAATCAGTTTGCAGTTGACATTATGAGAGTTTCTGATGAGGGCGTCTGTGTTCCTTTTGGGGATGAATGCTGTGGTTACATTCCAATACATACAGCAGTAAAAGGTAATTTCACAAACGTAATGGATCAATTAAGGGCACTTAGGAATAAACATGTGGAAAATTGTCCTTCTCTATTTGCTGGGGGGGATATTTTAAAAGGCTATTCTCTAGTCAGTGGACAGCTACCTTATTAAGAATGGGTATGATTCTATTGGTTATTCCTGTGGTTTTATTATTTTTGGAGTGTTGTGTTACACCTTTGGTACGCAGCATGATTATCAAAATTGTGGGGAATATTATGGGATATTTTCCTGGGTTACAAGTTGAAACTCCTACAGCTAGTAACAACTTTCATGTGACTTGCTGTGTTGCACCAGCTCAAGGAATTAATTAGGACTGAGTGATGGCCTATTAATCTGTGTATTCTTTTTTTAAGTTTTCTTTATATTTTGGTGGTTCATTCTATCCTTTAGTGACATTAGTTTTTGTTTTGGGAAATGTTCTAATACATTGGCAAGTAAATATGTTTGTTAACTATTTCAAGGGTCTGGTTTGCTTTCAGGCTGATGCTGGCTACTGACATCCAAGAAGTTGGGTTCAAGACACCAGTTGCCTCTTTGGGGTTGAGAGCTGGGACTGGAATGGTCCAATTGTGGCTTTTTGGGCTTATTGGCTTTCTTGGGACATCTGGTATGTGGGACTGAGCCTGTATAGTAGCTCTGAGGAGCTTTATAACCAGGAAGACCCGGATTTGCCGTGCCTTATGCAGCTATGCTCACCCCTATACAAAATGTTCACCACACTGATAATTGGGCTAATAAATTTATAGTGAGTTTAGCAGTGTAATTTACACTGCCTGACAGGTTCCAATACACAAACAATGATAATTTCAGGAGGGAAATGACTATTTGGGTTTTTATTTTATTTTTATTAGAAGTTTTCTTTTACTTTGAAGTGCTTTCCTAATGGATTAGATTTTCGGTTTGTTTTTAACTATTTACTCTTTGATTTTATTCATTTTCTTTTATTTTCATTATTTTACTCTTTCAACATTTATAATATGTAATTCAGCATTACTCTCTGTTTGGTATGTTGAACATATTAATCAATTATAAGGTTCACGGTAAATCGTAAAAAGGGGGGGGAATGACGGAGATTTTGAATAGATATTCCCTTAAACAGTAATCAAAAAGATTAGATGTTGTAATCAATAACCAAATAGGAAGTATTGCCCAACAGAGGCAATACAAAGCGGCCTTAGTCTGTCTGCATAGGAGATTCTAGGCACTGGAAAGCCACTGGGTTCACAGAGAGGCCTGTGTGTACCTACTGACCCAGTGGAGAGAGGGGCAAGTTGACCTTGAAAGGTAGAGCAGGCTGGTAAAAACCTGCTGAAGCCAGTTTTGAGGAGTGAGCTCATCATGCGATGGCCAAATTGATGGACAAAGAGATGCACCTATTAGAGAATGAGCTAATATCAAAATTTGAGAAGTAAGACGGGGGGATATCACATTACCCCAGATAAATTGTATAAACTGTTTGGAACACTGTATTTGCGCAGTTGGGTCTCTCAAAACCCGATGCTGAAATAAAGAAGAAGCCTTTTTCTGCCTTCCACAAGAACTCAGCGGCTGAAGTCTTTTATTCTACTTTCTTTTATTTTTGTACCCTTTTTGTTTATTTTATTTTTGTTTATTTTTGTAAGTGATTAAGACAATAATTAGAACAAAACCACAGCACAGAATAGTTTAGATTTTAAAAAGCATCGTATGTCGGGGCTTTGGGCAAGGAAGAAAACAGCTCTTGGTCCCTCTTGCATTAAGAGGTCACTAAGATTTCGAGTAAGATCACAGCAAAATTATGCTAGGAACTGATCAACCATACTATAAGTAACGATGTGAGATGTAACATTCTTTTAAGACACAAAGGGTTAGCATTTACAGAGAGATAAAAAAAAAATACATTTATGATTACTGATCAAAAGGTCTTCACAATGGATACAAAGGCTATGAGGGGTATTATCAAAATCTAGTCCTAGAAAAAAAACAAAGGCCTGAAGTATGACCAGGAGTAGGATAGTACAAATTAAATAAAATGTTTCATAAAATACATTAGAACTAATATAGTTAGTCAAATTACTGAATAGAGGACAGGCAGAGGCAGAATGTGTTTCAGGGAGGCTTCCTCGTAATGGCTATTCAAACTACTATACTTCCAAAAAACACATGTGATTATACATGAACCAGTAAAGAACTTCAAAATGTTTTATTCGTACACATAGGAAATTCCAAATAAACATAGGGATACAGAAAACAATGCTCTTTCCCCTCTTTTGCCATCTCCTGCACCTCCCAAAAAGGGAGGTTCAAATAGTTTCTTTTGTACAAATCACAAGTTTACACACCCTTCATCAACTCACAAGTCTTCAAATTACAATTCAACAGTGAGAATTACACAATCTGCATAAATAAACATGCATAAAAGTGAAACAGTTATTCTAATTAATTATAAAAGCCCACCATATTTTGCTGTAAGATTTAGGCTTCACCCTTACACCATGCTGCATTTTCTCAGGAATGCTGTAGGACAGAAGCTTTAACCACTGCTCAAAGAAAAATTGGGTTTGACCGTGATTAAGTGTCTGTACGCCAAAGTTATTTAACACTTTTTATTTAATCTTCTTTCTCTTCTCTTTGAGGAATGTGGAGTACTATCCGTTTCTGTGTTTTACTTAGTATGATCTTTTGACTGGTCATACTGATTCACTCCACCTTGACCAACTGCACTCTGGCCCATTTTCAGGTCAACCTCATGCCCTGTACCTTGATGCCCTGCTCTTGGGTCCATTGTCTGGTAATCCAAATTCCTTGTATCCTGGCCCACTGCAGTCTGGTCCAGTATTTGTTCACCCACATTCACTTTGGCACTGTTTCCACCCGACTGCGTATCAGACCTTTTCCCCCATGAACTGATCCATGAAATTAACTGTTCTCCTAGAGACTCATCCAATCTGTAAGTGAATAATGGAGCAAAATTATTACTCATGTTATAAAACATCATTTATAGCTTAATTATGAATGTGAGAGGGTGTGACATACACAGCCCTTGATTTGTTGTTTCTGCATCATTAAATGATTACGATTTAAACAAAGTCATTCAGAGTGGTTTGGAGTGAAATGCCCCATTCTAGAGAAACTTAAAGAGTCAGAATTGCTCACAGTAGTGACAGCAACCAGATATCTGAAATGTTTAATGTCTCTGAAAGCTATCTCACAGAAAGCTATTACATGAATTGGTTATCAGGATTTGTACAATCATGAAAATCCTGGCAATCATGGAACTTCCTGGACTTTTCCCCTATGTAGCTCGGCATCTCATCACATTTGAAGCACTCAAGAGTCTAGATCACAAAAAGCACCAAGACCCAAGACTAACATATCTGTACATGGAGTAGCTGTACTAACAAGTTAATATGAACCTTGGTTAGCTAAGGTGTAACATTCAGGATGTGTGTGTTGTGGATGATATGTTGACATTTGAACACTGTAGAAAACAAAAATTATTACGTACAATATCAGAGAAAACTACAGTAAAGGAAGCACTACTATAAATGTGTTCACACGCCGCCTGGGGAGTCTTGTACGACACTGCTGCAAAAGTATCAACCTTCACAGTGCTTGTCTGCATTGCGGGGGCTAATCAAACATCACATGCTGCAGCTACATTAAGAAATGACGAGCTAACCACCGAGGTTCTCTAAATGATTTATTTGATTTTATATAGTCTTTGTTGTATTCTGGGTACTTAAAGTTGTGGAAAAATGTTTAGTTGAATTGACTCTTGTTACATCTTTCTCCTAAATCCTGTAAAATTGCATCAAAAGTCACTGACACTGACTCGGTTAGATACTCATTTCGCTGGCTAAATAAATATGTCTTTGTTATTGTTAACTCATTTGATTTTGAGGTTAACATAATGTAAAGGAGAACAATGTCCACCTAATCATGATGTGTGTGCATGCACAACGCGTCTCTGTTATTTGTTTTGACAAGATGTTAAACCACTCTTTATAAATTAAACCGATTGACCTGTTTGCACATGAGAATATGGGATGACAGAGGAGTCAAAACAAAAAATATGGACTCTAAAATTATGAAACAATAATGTATTGAGAGAATGAAAGATCCATTCTCTAAGGTCGGAGTGTTACACTTGGTGCAGAAATCCATACATGGGTCAGATTTAAAAATCACTCGCCGTCAATCCAGTCAAACTGACTTACTAATTGATATTTAAATATTAAATTAATATTCAGATAATGCAGATCTTTTTCCCCTTGGAACAGCTATGTACATGTTAAATTACTGCTGGGCGGTTACCGATTAAATTCAATATCATGGTACTTTCAGATATCACAGTGTTACGCTATCAGGTGATATTAAAGTTTAACATTATTAAAGTTAATGAACTCATGCTTCTTTAGTTTCCTTATTTTCATGGTTTTTAAGCTAATGAGGTAAATGTAAACCATCAAGGACTGCATATCATGAGTAAAATGCACAAAATTAAGTCTATCAAGTATATTACTAAATATCACGGTATATCAGTATAGATGATAAATCGCCCATCACTATGTTAAATGTTTGAAATGAAAATTTCATTTTATGTCATGGAAATGTTTTGGAAAAGTCAAGGAAATTCCACTGTTTAAAAAATGTACAAAACCTGGGTTATGAATGTGCTGCCTGATGGCTGAGACACTGTTTATGACAGTTTTGCTGCAAAGTTTTGATATTTTTGGCCTAAAATGCATACAGTTCTAACGCATTCATGGCAAAGAGGTACATGCAGGGCATTGTACAGCAAACAGTTACCAGTATTTTACTATTATCAACATTACATAAAAGTCAGAAGACAGGTAAGCTCACTGGTCATTCTGGATAGTAAATAAAATGGCTAAATTTGTGTTGCACGTGTTGTGACCTCTGGGTCCTATCACCAGCATTGTGAAGAAATCGGAGTTGGTAAGTTTCGCTGCAATGGTGCGTTTCATGTCAAACTCTGAATGACTCTGTTTGCATCCGTGCAATTGAATTATGGCAGTTTTCCCCTTTAAGTGCACACACAGATAAAAGAATATACTCTGTTTTGTTTAACACATCTGGAGAGCATATCTGATTATTTAAATAGGGGATTATTTAGGCTGACTAGCACCTTACTTGGTGCTAAGTTTTCTTACCGCAGATTGCATCCTGATTTCTTCAGTAGATCTGAAAGTGCTTTCGCTGGCTTTCCTAGCTTATTTCCACATAGATCCAGCTCTCTTAAGTGTGTGTGGTTTAAGGTTAGAGCTGAAGTCAGAGCTTCACAGCTTTTCTCTTCTATACTGCATTTCTTGAGCCTGCAGACAGAGAGACAGGTTATTTCTTTACCCCAGTACACTAAATCAACACATTTACTATCAAGTTAAAATGTCAGTGTATGCAACAGTTGGATAGCTTTTAAATAAAAAAAAATCATGAAAATATTGTTTATTTAAAAGCTTGTTTATGTAACAGTAGAAATCTGACATTCACAAAAGACTAATATAGAGCTCGGATAGATCATTTTTCGTGACATGATGGTTGAGTTACTTACAGAAGTTTCTGTAGTTTACATTTCTTATTCTCCAGGAGAACACAGAGCTTCTTCATTCCCAAATCTCCTAATTTATTCTCACTCAGATCCAGCTCTCTAATATATGATGGATTTACACAAAGAGCTGAGGCAAGATCTACACAGGAATTCTCTGCTATACTTTGAACTAACCTGCAAAGCATAAGGGAGGAGATAGAGGATAGAAAACATAAAAATAAAAGTGGTGCATATAAAGAATATGTACCAGAACATTACTGCAATAATAAGTAAATAACAGTTATTAACATTAAAATGCCATAAATATGAAGGGCCTTTGCTTATTCAAATCACACAGTAAGAACCATAAAATGGTCAATCCCATAGTAGTTTTGGTTGTTCATTAAATTATCTGATTCAGAGCAAATATTACTAAACCCCATAAGACTATGTATCTATCAATGACGGATAATGCACACTGTGACTATTATACATGTTAAAAATACTCTTTAATGACTTTAAGAGTTACTGATAATATGAACAGTTCCATATCTGCTTTAGCTGATTTATTGGCTTAGATCTGCTCAGGAAGACATGTAAATAAGCCTTTAAGAAGACCATAATACTCACTTTAGTTTCTCCAGTTTACAGTGAGAATTCTCCAGTAGATTACAGAGTTTCGCCATTCCTGACTTGTTTAGTTCATTTCCATTCACATCAAGATCTCTTAGGTGAGAGGGATTTGAAATGAGAGCGGAAAGCAGATCAGCACAGTCTTCATCTTTATTACTGCCTGATTTATACAGCCTGAAGGGGGCAAAAAAACAGAAAAAGTCAGAAGTATCTTGTGGCATGCGCCCGCCCCCCGGGCCCCGACGATGACGGCCGCGAGAGTCGGCAGGAAGGCGGGGCCCGAACACCCAGCGGCGACGAACCTCGGCCAGGACGGCAGGGAGAGAGCCGCGAGTGTGGAGGGGGCGGAGCGCAAAGCCAGAGCTCCGCCGAGTGACCCGAGTGACGGCGGTAGGAGGAGGAGGACGACGACGGTGCCGGTAACGAGAGGCACCAGGGTGTGGCATGCACCCGCACCCCGGGCCCCGACGATGACGGCCGCGAGAGTCGGCGGGAAGGCGGGGCCCGAACATCCAGCGGCGACGAACCTCGGCCAGGACGGCAGGAAGAGAGCCGCGAGTGTGGAGGGGGCGGAGCGAAAAGCCCGAGTATTTCAGAGTGGCGCGAGTGACGGCGGGAGGAGGAGGAGGACGACGACGGTGCCGGTAACGAGAGGCACCAGGGGAAGGAGCGAGTCCCGAGCTCCGCCGCCTGGGCCCCGCCCCCTGTTACGCAGCGAGGCCGCTCCACTACACCTCACCTTCGACCCGGGAGGCTGAGCCGCCAGCTGGGGGCGGTGACGAGGAGGCGGAGCAGCGAGCTCTCGTTCCCTCTCGGCTCAGGTGCTCGCGCTGCCCTTAATGAGAGCCAGCTGATGCTGATCTGGCGGGCAGCGTGAGCGCCTTTTAAAAGAGCTGAGAGGGAACAGAGAGAGAGGAAGAGGGACACGCAGCAGCAACAAGAGACCGAGGAGCTGGAAAGCTCCTTATTGAGGATAAAGGACTGGAAAGTCTAGCGGACTGAAGCCACTGAAAAGTGGCCAGCCTAGGTTCTGGTGTTTTGTTTGAGGAATTAAAGAAATGGCTGCTGCAACCCTAAACCCTGCCTCCAGCGTCCTCCTTGAGCCCGGGGTAGCACATGCCGTGCTACATATCTATAAGCAAGTCAAACTTTATTTCTTATTAAAATTATTTTTCATATACACGTACGTCTTCACCTTTGTACAAATAGTAGTATTACCCTAACTCTGCAGGACTTGTTTCAGAGTTCTTTTCCAATCCAGTGGCTGCTAGCGGCTGTTTAACTTTTTAGGGTTTAGCATTTTTTTATTTAATTATTTAATAATAATCATTACATATTTAATTGTGAAGTTTGATTAATTGAGAAGATCTTTAGAAACAGAAATTCCTACAAATTTCACAGAAGTATACAGAGGGTTGGGAGGGTTACAATGTATTCTGGTACAGATTACTGATTACCTGTTAAAAATTCTAACTGTAATCTAATCCAAACTGCTTCTACCTTAAAGTAACATAATCTGATTGTTACTTTTGGACTACTGATCTTTTTAAAGTCATAATTAAAAAAACAAACAAACAAAAAGAGAAACTAATTTTAACATTAGACTTTTTCCAACAATCAATTATCACAAGGCAAACAGGAGAACTGGACTGTTTTATGAATCAAAATGAAAGAGTATAGGTGACATATTGGTCTGTGCTTTATGTGGGCTATGTGTATATGTCTATTTGAAAGAAAAAAAAAACTGGTATTTAAATACAATGTGATGTCAAACTACAGAGAAGATGAGACATAAGCAGCTGATATTAAGTCCACACAAACACTGCTCTCATGTTTTGCAAAATGGCCAAGTCTAAGTGGAACAATATATGGAAATATTTCAAAGATAAACATAATAAATTTGAACAGTATAGCTTAGATATGTATACTTGGGAGCATTAAAAAGGTGACGAGTTCAAAAATCAAGGCAAAGCTCCCCAGGCAAACATTGTGAGTGATTTTAACAAGAAAATAAAAAAAAATGTGGTACACTGAGACAAAAAGCTCTGAGACTGGAACACAAATGTAACTCGTTACAAAACCATGCTATGCTCACATGGAATTTTGCTTTATTGGTTAAAATGATGTTTGTAATATAATTTGTAGTTGCTGGCTTAGCTTTCAATGCCATACTGATGCTTCCTTCAGCCTCTTTTGGGGTTACTGCAGGACAAGTGAAGCTCCACCCCATCTTTTTAAATTGCCACTAATGCAACGTCATTGGACAGCTAAACGCACTTGAAGGAAAATGCTAACTGCCAATTCTATTACTACATGTAACAGATGCCCGTGTTGGCTAGCATCATGCTGAATGATGAGGGAGAGGGAGGTCCATCCTACCCACCAGAGAGCGCAGCCAACTGTACTCACTTGGACTGCCAGCCAAAGCTTGGCTGTGGCATCGCCAGGGATCACATTTGCAATCTCCTGATGATAGGTCCACTGGGTGTACTTTTCAGTCTACCCTGAATACAGCATCAACTGTAGGCAGGCAGAGCAGCTGCATATCAGGTTTCCTAAACTGTGTGGTGCTCTGTGGTGGTTCAAAACACATGTACTTGACCTCACTCTGACTGCTGTGTCTTCTCTCTGAGCCACAAAACATTGTGCACTTTCTTTCTAAATGTACACCCTAGGTTACTCTAAACACCTTGATTAAGCTTTAGAGGACCCATACTGCAGCTCAACTTTCGTTCTATGGTGAATTCTTTTTACATGTAAGTCTAATTACGCCTATGGAACTGTGTCCAATTAGTGTTTTAAGTGAATGACTGTATAATGCCCGATCCTGGGCATGGAGATCTGCTACCCACTTCATAGGTTTACAGTTACAGATTGTAGCCCATCTGTTGCTACCTAATTTATCAAACCCCTCTACTCCATCCATGAATGGAAATGAACCACCATATGATCATCGCTAACCAGATATTATTTGGGTGGTGGACCTCTCTCAGCACTGCAGTGATACCAATATGTAAGTGGCTTGATAATGTGTTGCGCTGGAGAGTAGAGAGGGACAGACAAATTATTGTAATAATTATAGCAATAATACTATCTTCATTTATAGAGCACTTTTCAAAACAGCGGCAGCTCAAAGCGCTTTACAGACAATGCAAAAACAGATGTGCTACAGTCAGTAAAGACAAATATATAAAGTGTATCTCTGTGGTATAGTTGGCCTGATAAAATGACTAGGGAGTGTTAAGTACAAGATCAGTATAACAAATAAACTGTTGTGTATGTGTATGTAAGTAATTAACTACTTACGTGAGTTTCTCCACTCTATAGTGTAGGTCTTTCAACAGAGCAGACAGCTCCTTCACAGTGATGTTTTCTGTTTCTTTTTCACTCAGATCCAACTCTTTCTGCAGTAAGGGGTTTTTATCCAGAATTTGATAAAGATGTTTGCAGGCTTTCTCTGCATCCAATTCCAACAGCCTATAGAAAGAAGAAAAAAAAAAAAACACTAATGATTACATACTGAGAAAAATGACAAGTCTTCAGCTCGAGGATGTTAGCGTTTTCATTATCTAACCACAAGCCATATTTGTTACAGCGACCTCTTTTCTATTACAATACAAGAAGTGTATGTATGAGGTGCAGTCAGAAAGTTATGAGACTGTTCCTGTTGCGAATGAACGGAGAGTGGAATGGTAATGTGCATATAAAAGGTGGGAGCAATAACTTTCATATCAAAATTCTGTGACAGATTCAGGAAATCAGCACTGGAGACTCTTGAATTGCTTCTGAAGCTATGAGCCGGACGAGGATTTCTGAGTGGCTTTTGAGTTTCGAAAGAGACAGAACATCACTAGAGGTTATCAAGAGGTCATGGCATCCACGAGCCACAACCCCTGAAAATGCCCAAGATATTGAATGAATTGTGTGTCAGAACTGTTGGATCAACATTAAGGACAAAATACAATATAAAACATGCTATAATTTTTGTACAAGCCACGTTTTATGCTTTATGTTAAATTCTGTAAATAAACAGTAATTGTGCATTAAAATGTGCAGAAGTGTGTTCTCTGCAGAGCAGACATGTGAAACTGGGGACCTTTCAAACCAAAGTACTGCTGAGATTAGTGTTTACCCTCATCTAACACTGTTCATGAAGGCCTTGCTGATTAGCTCATGAGCTAAATGTTTTAGAACAACAGGATTTTTTTTAACTTAATGTTAAAATACTATATAATGGCATCAAATAATTAAGCTCAAAAGTTCCATGCAATTAAGTAACTCAAAAATGGTAAAAGAGATGGTTGAGTAAAAAGAAATAGTCAGAATATATGGGTGATATAATTTATTATTAGTGAATAAAGTACTCTTTACTTTTGTGACATTTCTCACCTCAGTGTTTGCATTGGTCGCACAAATATGTCAGTGAGTTCCTTCACTCCTGTGTCTCCAGGGTCGTTCCCTATGAGTTCCAGCGCTTTTAGGTCTGCTGTATTGTTTGACTTCAGAGCTGAAGCCAATGCAGAATATCCTTCCTGTGTTACACTGCAGAATGAAAGTCTAGAAAAAAGAATATTTGTTGATTTAATTTGCTTACATTTTGTGTATAATCCATCATTATTATAAAGCATACATTTTATGTATGATCACATATAGAGATGCATGATTAATTGTATTTATATTGTCATTGTGTTATGAATTTCCCGAATAGTATCGTAATTATACTATACTCGCTGTCAGAGCAAAACCTTGTATCTCCAGCAAAGTAATTTTACAAGCAAAAAAATCTCAATTTCAATGTAAGTGAATGTATCAAAATTTTATTCTACTGTATTTTTTATGATTTCTATTTGTCCATCTGTCCTGAAACTGTAAAGAACAGCTAATATTTTCAAATTATTGTGGTGGTCCTGTGGGGGGCCTAAGCATTGAATAACAGAAAAAAAGAGAAACAGATGGACTACATTCTGAAACTACAAAAGATGGACTATATTCTTCTAGATGCACCTACATGGTAAGTGGAGCTGATGAAATGGACAATGAATGTAGATACAAGGAGGTAGTTAGTCCATGTTTCTCTGCATACTTTGTTAGTCTACTTTCACCCTGTTCTTCAGTGGTCAGGACCCCCATGGACCCTCACAGAGCAGGTACTATTTGGGTGGTGGATCATTCTCAGCACTGCAGTAACACTGACATGGTGGTGGTGGTGTGTTAGTGTGTGTGTTGTGCTGGTCTGAGTGGATCAAACATAGCAGTGCTGCTGGAGTTTTTAAACACTGTGTCCACGCATTGTCCACTCTATTAGACACTCCTACCTTGTTGGTCTACCTTGTAGACGTAAAGTCAGAGACGATAGCTCATCTGTTGCTGCACAGTTTGTGTTGGTCATCCTCTAGTCCTTCATCAGTGGTCACAGGATGCTGCCCACAAGACGCTGTTGGCTGGATAGTTTTTGGTTGGTGGACTATTCTCAGTCCAGCAGTGACACTGAGGTGTTTAAAAACTCCAGCAGCACTGCTGTGTCTGATCCACCACATCAGTGTTACTGAAGTGCTGAGAATGACCCACCACCCAAAAAGTACCTTTGTGGGGGCCCTGACCACTGAAGAACAGGATAACAAAGTATGCAGAGAAACAGATGGACAACAGTCTGTAAAGACTGATAGTAACTGTAGAAACCTGGAGATGGTTCGATATTGTTATCAGTGTGTATATATACACATATATATTATTTTGCACTTTGCGTAATAGTAAATGATGCCTTCATATTGTTTGCAATATGTTTACAGGACAGAAGAATAGGAAAGTAAGATTTCTGTTTAATTGTACAGGACAAATGTGTATATTTGCTGCATTGCCAGTCAGAGATACTATTTTTTTCCTTCAAATTATTTTTTATTACATCGTTATCACAATATCAGAAGACTTCAGGGAAAATCGTGTTTTATGTCCGTATCATGCAACCCTAATTTTTTTTCTTTTGTGGAACAACTGGAACTCACCTCAGTTTCTGCAGTTTACAGTTCTGACTGTTCAGTAGAGCACAAAGCTGCTTCACTCCAGAGTTTCCTATTTGATTTTTACTCAGATCCAGCTCTGTCAGGTGTGAAGGATTTAAACAAAGAGCTGATGACAGGGCAGCACAGCCTTCCTCTGTAATACTGCACTTATTCATCCTGCAGAGAAAGAGGAATGATGGATAAAAGTTCATTTAAAAAACTTCACTTATAAATGACTGGAACAAAATAAAATTTGAACTTTTTTTGACATTGGTGTGTTATCTTCTGGCAATGTATTGTGAAAAACATATCTACCTCAAAAGAAATTACAATAGTGCAAAACATTGTAACATCATGCTTTTACGAAGCGTTAAAATACTACTATTTTTCCTATTTCTATTTAAATGCAATAACTTAAAATATATCAAACTACATACTTAAGTTTCTTAGGTCTGCAGTGTAAATCCTCCAGTAGAGCAGAGAGCTGCTTCATTCTTGAATCTTCTTGTATTTTCCCACTCAGATCCAGCTCTCGCTGCAGTAAGGGGTTTTTACCTAGAACTTCAGTCAGAGAAGCACAGGCTATCTCTGCATCAGCTTTTTTCAGCAGCCTACAAAGACAGCGAGAGTTAGAGAACATAACTAACAAATTCTGTTGCAATTGTATTTTTATTTTATTTTTTTGAATTGACTCCGAATACCTCATCCTGATTTCATGCCTTCGTTTTTACTATTTTAACTTATTTTAACTAGATGTGTGATTGCACATTAAGATCATTGTTGTATCTTTGGAATACATTTACATTGTTTGCGCCTTGGTGAACAAGTGATTACATGACTTTACTTGACAAAATTTATGAAAAACACTTATGATACAAACTGACCTCTGTAAGTGACTGAGACTCAGTCTCATTTTTCTAAGCAAATGTTACTGATACTTGCAAAAGAGTCAGACTCAAGGTTACTGCTATCCACTAATGAATCAGACTCAACTCTAAATGCAGGATGCCACATAGCAGACTAGTACACATGTAACACAAAGAGGAAGCCAGCTACAAAAAGAAAACCTAAATTCAAACAACTATTTCTAATATTTTACAATATGGTATTATAGGTTAGGATTTTGCAGGCATAATTTGTGAAAAGTTAGACTTTTTTTCTCTGTAATTGTGTGACTTCTTTAAGCTTCAATATCATCCTTTTGCTGCCCCACCTTATATTACCACAGTCGTACCCTTTAAGCTTGGTAAAACAACATTTCTTTGGTTTGTTTGCCTACCTTTAACAACAGGTTTTAATTCGTCATTTGTAGAGTGTTATTTTCTTTTATAGCTGCTATTTGTCATTCCTCCTCATTTATACAGTGTATAAAAGTTCAATTTTGAGCATGTGTGTAGATAGTGGACTAATTACTTTTGTGTGTAATGCTTTTCCTTTACTGTTTTTGAAATTTAAAGCAATACATAGAGGCCCACATTTAGGCATGTCCACCTTTGAATGAAAAGAACATGTTTGATGAACCTATAACCTCTTGCTAAGTCATTTATTTTAGGGTGGGCCTCTGTGTGCTCTTTAAATTTTGCATAATTATAAACAGGCTAAGCATAATCAAGCATGTAAAAAGTGTGAGGTGAACATTTTCCTTTTGTACTTGTTTTACTAGTTTTAATACAACTAGTTTGTACCAGTTTTAAACATTTATACTTTGAGTAAGGACATATTTGAGACTAAGTGAAATTTATAGTTCAGGTCAACAGCTAATGCTTTTCCCAGTCAACACAGATTTCTGAAATTAGATTCCAGAAAGACAGCAAGAAAGACAGAAATGACATGTTCTTTTCTCATGTCTTTTGTTATTTTGCTGATTATTCATGTAGAATAATAATTTTTCACAGTTTCAAATTCAAGCCCCAAAATCATACTAATCATATTTCACACTTCCTTAATTTTCAAAATATTTACCTCAGTGTCTTCAGTTTACATTTTGGATCATTTTGTAACTTAATGAGAACCGACACTCCTGTTTCTCCAGGGTCATTCCCTCTGAGATCCAGCTGTACTAGGTATGAGGAGCAGTTTGATTGCAAAGCTGAAGCTAGAGCAGTATATTCTTTCTCGGTCAAACTACAGAATGAAAGACTAGAGAAAGGAGAGATATTATTAAAACTTTAAATTCAAGTTTTACCTTAATGCCTGTTTAGGTTTGTTAAAACACTAACATCAGTTTTGTGAGTTTGCTGTATGCATTCTTCAGTAGATCAGAGAGCTTCTCCACTCCAGAGTTTCCTATTTCATTCCCACTCAGATCCAGCTCTGTCAGGTGGGAAGGATTTGAAAAAAGAGCTGTTGCCAAAGCAGAACAGCCTTCCTGTGTTATACTCATGTTATTAAGCCTGCAGACAAAATACAACACATTTTCAACTGTTTAAACAATTCTGTATGTTGATAAGATCATGTCCATGTATTAATATTCTATATATATATCATTTACTAGATATTACTATAACTATTAAAACTGTTCTGTATGGCATATATTTAAAAAAAAATCATGTTACATGGTACAGTGTTATTCAGATATCACACTATAATAAACTGTATGCTAACAAAATTAATCAAAAATTCAAACACATCTTACTTAAGTGTTTTCAGTATGCAATGTGAATCCCTCAACAGATCAGAGAGCTGCTTTATTCCTGCGTCTCCTTGTATTTTCCCACTGAGATCCAGATCTCTCACAAGTAAGGGGTTTTTTCCTAAAACTTTACTCAAATAAGCACAAGCCTTCTCTGCAGCATCACTATTCAAAAATCTGCAGAGAAAATAATGAGTATTTATTATCTTACTGTTTCAGTGCTTCATAATGGTCAGATCATTCTAATTTCAAAAATCATTGTCCAAGTAGAAAAAAGATTCCTAGATTTAGAAACACCACTCACATTTACACAACATGGAAGCTTATTAACATGTTAAAGTTACTTATTCCAAGTATATCATGGAGAGTCACAGAAACAAGGCTGAATATTCCAATACTCAAAGCTGACTTCACACCTAAGCACTCTTACATATTATGATTGTATATTTATGCAATTTTAATCTTTAATCATAAAGTGTTACAGTGCTTCAGTGTGAATATTGGAATCAAAATCAAAACACTGCAAACGCAGAAAAAAATTTTATGCTGAAATCGACTGTTTAACACACTGTAAGTAAATTACCTGTTGAACAAAACTGCTGTGAACACAAGTAATGCAGTAAAAAAAGTTCACCTTAGTATTAGTTTGCATTTTGGATTCTTTTGTAAATCAGTAAGAAGCTGCACTCCTTTGTCTCCAGGATCATTCTCTCGGAGATCCAATTCAATCAGGTGTGATGAACAGTTTGACTGCAGAGCTAAAGCCAGAGCAGCATATCCCTCTCCTGAGAGGCAGCAAGCTCTGAGACTAAAATCAGAAAATGCAACTTTTTAGTGACTGTCCTAATTCTTTAAGTGGACACTGTCATTGATTATCAGTATGAGTGCTAGTACTGTGTATACGTGAGCAGTGGCAAGAAGGATCTCTCATCACTAGCTATACCATGTAACCAAATGCATTAAAATGTGTCATGTGAGAGAATTGTAAGTAAAAGAAATTGAAACTACATCCCTAGCAAATAAATAAACCCATGTTCTTTTTGTTTGCTAAATTTTTCAATCCTTAGACACAGGCCTACCAACCTAGAAAGCACTGTCTCTGGGGCATAAATGATTAAGGTCTACCTAATAAAGATCTTAGTTCCTGCTTTAGCTATTTCTGTAAATGTTTGCATTAACATGATTTGCAAATGTATTGAAATATGTATATTATTATTGAAACCAATTTATGATGCAGGCCAATAAAAGCATAAAGACTGATGACTTTGACAGGGAACAAATGCCCTGCTTTTAAACAAATGGCATGTTAGGTAAGTATTTTTGTTACACAGAGGTAAACATGCTTGTGTCACAACCTCTTTGAAATGTGTTGCAGGCATCAAAATTGGAATAGTTGTACATTTTCAAATGTACTAATCACTGCTTTCTGTTATTTTTAGCATTTCATATACTTTCCCAGTTTTTTTGGAACTGAAGTTTGTACTCAGTTGATACTAAACATTAAATGTTGTAACAATGTTAAAGACGAAAATTTTACTCACTTTAGTTTTGCTACAGTGCAGAGTGAATTCTTTAGTAGTTCGGCGAGCTGCTTCACTCCTGAGTTTCCTACTTCATTTCTGGTCAGATCCAGTTCTCCTAGGTGTGAAGGGTTTGATTTCAGAGCTGATGACAGAGCAGCACAGGCTTCTTCTGTTACACTGCAATTACTCAGTCTGCAGAGGAATAAAGCAGTTTTCTTAATATTTTTCTTTGCTAATTTTCTTTATATCTTCATCAACTTCATTTACATATACTTTTTTAGATAGAGAATATTTCTCAATTAATTTTACAGTCAACAAACTAAGGTATCTACTTGTTAGCCATTAATTTGTTAAATATAAGTTCCAGTGGTAATCATTTCCCAGTTCAACCCAGCCAAGTCAACACAAATTGATAAACAATGGTATGTGTCTTTCAATGTATTTAAAAAGATTTTTGATGCATTTAATGTTACTGAAGTTTTACATACTGCAGTTTCCAGAGTTTGAATTGTGTATTCTCCAGCACACTGCACAGATGCTTAATTCCTGACTCTCCTAATTTATTCCCACTCAGATCTAGCTCTGTCAGGTGTGAAGGATTTGAACCAAGAGCTGAAGCTAGAGTAGCACAGCCTTCCTCTGTAATATTGCTGTTATTCAGCCTGAAAACAGAGAGAGAGAGAGAGAGAGAGAGAGAGAGAGAGAGAGAGATAGAGAGAGAATGTTTAATTATTGGGAAATAAAAATCTCAAAACATTTAAATATTTTTTTTTTACATATGAATAAATAAAAGGCAAAAGATCAATTAAATGTTATGGCATTCATGTTTTAATGGGTATGTTACAAAAAGCATTTTGTAGCACACAAACAATTATATGAAAAAAGGTAATCTCCAAAAATGGCATTTTGTCAAGCAAATGATAGAATAGAGCTCTATAGCTTTTAGTTGAAAGTTTAGAAAATAACTGATTAAAATATTTAAAATACTGACTTCAGTTTCTTAGGTCTGCAGTGTGAATCCTCTAGCAGAGCAGAGAGCTGCTTCAATCCTGAGTCTTCTTTCATTTTTCCACTCAGATCCAGCTCACTCAGCAGTAAGGGGTTTGCTTGCAGAGTTTTAGTCAGAGAATTACAGGCTTCCTCTGCAGCAGAACTTTTCAGCAACCTGCAAGAGAAAGAATGTTTTCAATTCAATATAAAATCATGAAGGGCCAAATTCTGACTAAGAATACACATGCATGGCAAGGAGAGGCAAGTCATGTCTCTGGAGTATAATTGTTGTGAATGGAAATGCATAGGTAAGTAATAATCAGGTCCCTTTTCTAGTTTGCCCTGTGTATTCTCTGGAGATTTGTGAAAACTATGTAATCAAGCAATGAAAGACAGGCAAAAAGTAGTTCCTAAAGAAGCAAAAATGCTTTCTGTGTTGTTTTCCTTGAATATGGTTCACTTCTGTTGGAAAGGGAAATGGTGACCTCCTTACTTTCATCTCCCAATGGATCATTAAATTAAGCAACATCTGCTACTGAAGTAAATTTTCTTTAATGGAATGTGGTATACCAACTGTTTATAACTAGATTAATTAAACCAAGAGTCCCCAGTCCTGGGGACCCAACACTATGCACATTTTTGTTCTTTGTCTCACAAGCACACCTGATTCAACTCATTAATTATCAAAGCACTTTGTAGGCTGCGTCAGGTGCGTCGAGTTTACGCAACAATATAAATGACTTTCCAGAAGAATCTCACCAAAACACACATAAAATTGGTCTCTTTTGTTGATAGGCTATTATAAAGCTAATTTAGGCAATAATATTCACACACCCAAATTTAAGTACTATGTAATTTTGTTTATCAGAGCATTTGGCATAGCAAGGATACTACTACTTTACGTTATATCAAAACATTGTGATTGTCTTTACACTATTATTGAAAAGTAGAGGCTATTTATGCTAATTAGTAAATGTTAATTAATTATTAAAAATGTAAACAATCACGGCTAGTATGAGCTTTCTCCAAGTGAGGTTAAGCAAGGCACTGCAACTCTTCAAACTGACTCTAATGCAGCATCACTGGACAGCTCATCACATGTAGTGGACAATGCTAAATGCCAGTTCTGTTACATCAGCTAACAGATGCTGATGTTGGCTAGGACCATGCTAAGATTTGGGGAAAGGAAACGCCATCTCACATAGAGAAACGCCAATTATGCTTTCTTGGACGTTCAGCTGTGAGTATGTGCAGCATCGCCAAGAATTACTTCCCACTTGGGCTTAAATGTTTCTTGTACATATTACTGTCATAAAAATAGCTCACCTCAGTGTCATTTTACGCTGTTGATGCTTCTGTAAATTAGTGAGCAGCTTCACTCCTTTGTCTCCTGGGTCATTCCCTCTGAGATCCAACTCTATTAGGTGTGATGAGGGGTTCGATTGCAGAGCTGAAGCCAGATCAGCATATCCTTTTTCTTGGATGTTATTATAACTGATTCTGGAAATAAATAAATAAAAGCCTAAGCAGTCTTGAGTATATTCCAAATATTTGTCTTTCCTTTACAAGTTAATATTTATTGCTTATAATATTTTTTATATTTTGCTTATATGATCTGTAACTACACATATATAAGTTAGACTAGCAATCAAAAATATTGTAGCCATAAAAGTTCATGATACCATATACAAACTGTGCATTATTTTGTGTTTGACTGTCACTGTTATATGTAGTGTTAGATATCTGTGTGAATACTCACATAAGCTTTTGTAGTATGCAGTTTGTATTCTTCAGTAGATCAGAGAGCTGCTTCACTCCTGAGTGTCCTATTTTATTTCCACACAGATCCAGCTCTATCAGGTGTGATGGATTTGTTCCCAGAGCTGAAGCCACAGCAGCACAGCCTTTCTCTGTGATACTGCAGTTACTCAGTCTGCAGACAGATTGAATATCTTTGATGAAAACATTTCAATAAAAAGATCTGAACAGCATATTTCCTTACCTCCTTAACAGTTTAATTTGTGATTTTAGTCTTGCTCAATGGACTATGTTTGCCAGCATCAGTAAAGGTTACATTCTCTTCTGCCTGCTGAAACATAATCTGTAGTAATAATCCCGGGATATATTAATCACATATATTAAATCACATGCAAATTTCCATGTTGGTAAATATTTCATCACATTCTGGGGAATAGAAATCTTTATGAGTAAACACTAAAAGATGTAAAATGACAACAAAAATAAGTGAGTAATAACTATGTTATACAGTGAAGTTGACTGTCCCAACGTAATGACAATGCTAATGCATTCAATTAACACAACAAACTAAATGATTAGGGTAAACAAAATTATAATTCAATTTAATGCTTGGACATATGTTTTTTTACTTGTGAGCAGCCAAGTATGTAGCATGTAGAACATTTTGGTGTAATAGCAATGTGTAAATCAAGTAGCCACTCCCATTTTTGTAATGTATACCATTAATTTTATCCCGTGCAATTGACTTCCTTTGGTAAAAATAATTACACGACTTATCCCTGTAAAATGAATCCAGTTCGAATAGCACTTCACTTATGCTTTATCTTAAGCACTTTACTCACTTGTCAAAACTCTGAGCACTACCAGTAGTAACATTGCTGACTTGTTCTGTCTGTGTGGTATTCTAACTTACTCCCTGATTATACAATAAAACAATACATTAGAATATTTATAGACAATATCTTTTACCATGGCTCTACCACAGATGTTAATGTAATAAAAAATATGCCTTATAGCAGATGCTACTTCACCTCATTATCTTGAGTGTAGACATTGGATTTTTCAGTCCAGCAGTGAGCTGCACCACTCCAGAATCCTGCAGATTATTATTGCTCAGGTCCAGTTCTTTGAGGTGGGGGTATAAACAGTTGAGAACTTCAGCTAAAGCTGAACAGCCTTCCGCCGTTAATTCACATTTACTAAGCCTAAATATAAAATCAGTCAGAGGAATGAAAAACAACTTTGAATTATCAATAAATCACTTAGGCATTCAATAATGACCACTTATATACCAACACTCATTCGTATACATTACTTACTGAATTTTCCAAAAACAAAAAAAAAAAAAATATTCTGACTTAAACAAACAGAATGCCCTATGGTCTTACATCAGAATCTCCAGTTTACATTTTGGATTCTTCAGTCCAGCAGCCAGACACTGCATTCCTGTATCCTGTAGATCATTGTTACTGAGGTCTATTTTTCTCACAGTGGAGTCCAAGTTGAGAATGCAGGCTAGGGTCAGGCAGCTTTCCTTGGTTAGATTACACTTATTGAGTCTAAAAGAAAATATCAAATTAGCAGTGCTACATCTTTGCTACTTAAGTCTGCAGAATAGATAAGCACTTTTATTAGGGTCTAGCTATCTGACTACACTTATCTCTATTATTATCTAGATCTCTATTATTATCATTATTATTATTACTACTATTACAATTATTATTATTATTATTATTATTATTATTATTATATGAACACTGTGTTATAAACACTACATTTGTTGTATTTTTCCAAGCCAAAGCATAATGGACATAATTGATATCAGTGATATTGGTCGGTCTCTCAATATACAGTCCTATGAAAAACACACTCATGTTTCATGTTTTGTTGATCTGTAGTGAAAATAATTTAATACATCCTTGACAGGGAACGTTTCAAATGAAATAATATTTAGCATATTCTGCAAATAGTGCACGATTTCTATTTATTTGATCAAAAAAATATATAAAATATGCTATAATTTTTGCACAGACCACATTTTATGTTTGTGGGGTGGGGGGGTTGGAGATTAGTCATTTTCAGATTTTTCAGAAATTGATTACTAAAACAGAATTATTAAAACGAGTAATACAAACCTAAGCTCCTTTATTTTAAAGTGTGAATCTTCCAGTAAAGAACACAGCTGATCCACATCTGAGTCTCCTCGCATTTTCTGACTCATATCCAAATCTTTCAGCAGTAATGGGTTTCTTTTTAGAATTTTAGTTAGAGAAGCACAGGCATGTTCTGCAGCAGGAGTGCTCAGAAACCTGCAGAGAGAGAAAAATATGTCACATTATAAGTAATATACTTATTCCCAGTACATTATTAGGATCTGGGCACCAAAGATGATAACAAATGTAGTACTGACTGTTGAGTGCACAACTTTCAAATGGAAAAACACCTTTTGGACCCAGACTATCAGGTTAAATTGCTTTAAACTGGCTACAGGTCACCATATTCGAAACTGTATCTGTCTCTTCTGGTAGCATCACCAAATAAGTCCAAGTGGACAGGGGGAAATTCTAAATAGAATAGTACCAACAGTACCGATAGTACATGAAGCCAGCCACCACAGCTCCTGACGCAACAACATTGGACAGCTGAATGTGTTTAGAGGAGAACACTAACTTCCAATTATTTTACGTCAGGTAACAGAAACCCGTGTTGGCTAACGTCATGCGCAAATGAAGGTGGGGAGAGGGAAGTCCATCCCACCCACCCAAAGAAGCAAAGTATGCTCTCTTGGATGGCTGTGGCATGCAGATTAAACACATCTCCAATTTAGAGTTTGCCAGTTGTGCCACTAGGGAGCACTTTGGTCTGTATTTTGAACAAGGCATGACATTTAAACATAGACAGCAAGTGTTGTTATTGCCCACTCATGACAACAAGATGCTGGCAAAATGGAAACTTGATTTCCAAACTTCCAAATGCAAGACAAGACATGCCAGTCAAAGAGAATAAGAAACACCTCATTCTGCTGACAGAGATTATGAGGTTGACGATTTTTCTCTATTACCATCCACATCTTTGATGGGGGAAGGTGTTTCTGATAAGGCAGGATGTCTTTAGCCTTAACAGTATGAGCCACTGACTCAAGCCACTGAAGAGTTAACATAGTGCCAGAAAATGATTAGCAGTGAATGGGAGAGGCGTCTGAATGGTAGAACATTCCCTGAAACCATGACAGCTTTTAATAATCTGTTCAGCAAGTTCATATAAAACCTGAGTCCTGATTTCTTAGGTGCACTGAATTCTGAATGAATAAAGTAGATTTCTTTGAATGCTGTCTAGGTTTTTTTTCAGTTTGACATCAAGGTCGCAGAGTGCTTTGCCGGTCAGCAAGGGTTTGCTGCAGTGGCCCTAAATCCTACATTCTGTAAGCTGTTCATGGCACTTCAGTTCCGCCTCAAATTCACATTTCCCTTCATAAATCGAACTCTCAGGAGCGCGCACTCACTGCACAGAAATCAACGGCAAGCAACACTGGAACTACGGAAAAAAGTTTGAAAAAGACAGTACGGACGAAAGATTGACACACTCAGTAACAATGTCCATTTAGCGTTAATCTTTCCTGAACTGTTTCGCTTACCGTAGTTCATGTTCCTTGCCGTTGATTTCTGTTCACTGAGTTGTGCACCCGAGAGTTTGAGTTGTGAAGGGAAATGTGAATCGGATGCAACACCGGCAGCTTTGTGGAGATTTGCAAGAATTCTCATTTAATTGATCCAACATCTTTATTACAAACTAAGCTTAGATTAATTGAGTTATTTACAGTTGTTACAGACATCTGCCAAAGCGCAGCCTTGTGAAGTGGTGCTGGGGGTATTTAGCTTAGTGTGGGAGTGTGGTTATCTCCTCTCTAGGCTCCTATGCTTTCATATTTATTAGTGTGGCACGAGTAGGGCGTCATCAGGGATCGGTAACTTTGGATGACTGATTTGCATACTGTGATGTGTCTTCGTACTATGGCATCATCCGATCCTATAGCAGAGTTGAACCAGAGGGGTGCTGCAAAGGTGGAACTGACCACGATAAAAATTGTATTTTTACAGTTTGGAAAGATGTGTTCACATTTTAAGCAAGCTGGTATATTTTATTATTACAGAGCAGTGCATTTCAGCTGTTAATGGAAAAAAAGGTCTTAGGGTGTAGTTACTCTTTAAAGATTTCATTATTACAAGGAGAACTATTAAACAAGGAACACAAGGAGTGCCTCAAGATAACTGCTTTTACCATTGACCTGTTGTCAAGGACATGATTAAGAGTTGTGGTGTGTGGTAGTGCAGTTGTTTCTCTAACTGATGTTACCTGGGACCAAAATCCATTAAAAGTTCCCAATGTAATCTCTGGATTATTTTAACAAACAAGTCTAGTGTTAACTTGTTAGCTCATGTAAAGGCAGTCTCCTCTTTTTCTGACATAAAAACTTAATCCCAGTAGCAAAAAGATTTCTCTTGGGTTTTTGAAATAATATTTCCCCCATGACACACATTCATTAGTATTTTTATCGCCTCTACAGCCATCTCACGACAATCACATATATAATATAGTGTATTAAATGTTGGTGGTAAATAAGTGCATCAGAGTCTACAATATGATGCATTTCATTTACAGCTATATTGCAAAGGTTTTAAGTAGTTTGTAAATAATTAATTAATTTCTCATTTAAGTGCTTTCAGTTTACAGCATCTATCATCCATTAAATCAGTGCACTCTTTCACTCCTGATTCACCAGGATCATTCTCTCTGAGTCAAATACATATTTCCTAAAAACACATTTATTTCAACCATATTGACTATTTTCTGGTGGAGAAATAATTTACCTAATTGTCTTCAGGCTATATTTTGGATTCTCTAGTAGATTCGTGAGCAGTTCCACTCCTGATTCTCCAGGATCATTCCCTCTGAGATCAAGCTGTATCAAATGTGATGAGGGATTTGATTTCAGAGCTGAAGCCAGAGCAGCATATCCTTCCTCTGTTATACTGCAGAATGAAAGTCTTCACAGAAGACAACGTTTGTTATTTGGCAATAAAACAGAGAAAAATGACATGGCTTCATGAAGCATACAAAATCCAACTGTAATAAAGGTGCTATTTTTGTGTAATGCTAATCACTTGCCAGAATATGTGTATGATGTGATGTTAGCTAAATTTCCAACTATGCTCTGAGACAACAAAGAGCATTTCAAATGTGTTCATGTATTTCTTATTTAATTTAAAATGACTAGAACTCACCCCAGAATCTGCAGTTTACAGTACTTCAGTAGAGGACAAATCTGCTGAACTCCAAAGTTTCCAAATTTATTGTCACTAAGATCTAGCTCTATGAGATGTGAAGGATTTAAACGAAGAGCTGATACCAGAGCAGTACAGTCTGTAATATTGCTGCTGTTCAGCCTGTAAACAGAATGTAATGGCGGAGATGGTTAATTTTTAAAAAATGGTTTGGTGTTTAAAAAAGTGTGTCACAAAAATTATTGGAACTAAATAATTTTTTAATAAATTTAATCAGCAATATCTTCATACTTGTCATCCTTGGTAAAGGTCTGTAAAAATACATGTATGTGCAAGGTCATCACAACAGTGCAAAAGACAGAAATGTTATTCAAACCACAAATGACAAAATACCAATGGCTAATATTAAATTGATTTTTCTCTATATTTGATTTTAAACACAAATTAAACTAAATCTGAATAAATTGAACTACATACTTAAGTTTATTTGGTCTGCAGTGTAAATCCTCCAGTACAGCAGATAGCTGCTTTATTCCTGAATCTCCTTGAATTTTCCCACTCAAATCCATATCTCTCAGCAGTAACACATTTATTCCTAGAGCTTCAGTCAGATAAGTACATGCGCTCTCTGCAGCATCACTTTTCAACAGCCTACAGAAAGAGTAAATGATAAAATATCACTAGAAACTTTAAAGTGATCATTTTTGAGAGTTATTCTGTTTTACCTTATTTCCAGAAGTACAGATAAATACAAGCCCCGTATATTAGCCATAAGGAAATACTAGCTAAAGTTCAAGATGATGATGGTTGAATAAGGGCTAGAAAACTTTAAATAATATTCATAACATTTATATTTAAAAGCTCAAAATCATTTACATTACAGTTAATTTACATGCAAATAAAAACTTGTGTGAGCCTCAAATCAAATTATGTAATATTTTGGGCAGAATCATATTAAAAAGATGTCTGCACTAGGAGTACACTATTTAACAATCAAATAAACATTCTCAAGGCTTAGAGAGCATTTACATCTCTCTAATATTTACCTCAGTGTTGTCAGTTTACAGTTTGAATCCTGTAGTAGGTCAGTAAGAAGTTCCACTCCTTTCTCCCCAGGATCATTTCCTCTGAGATCCAGCTCTATTAAGTGTGATGAGTGGTTTGATTTCAGAGCTGAAGCCAGAGCAACATATCCATCCTCTGTTATATTAGAGCTTGAAAATCTGAAAAGAGGACAAATTTAGTACTTTACCATTTAAAAAGGCACAAATAAATGATTCATGAAACAAGAAATGAAGTAAATTACATATAATTCTATTGAATATACTTTTTTAATGCTAGTCAATCTCAAGTGGAGCCTCTCCCAACTAATGACCGTTACTAAAACCTCTAAAAAACACAAAAACATCAACTATATTTTAATGCAATAGCAACCAAAATAAGGGTTTCTCTGGAAACTTCTTAACAAGTTAGTATTATGTATAATGCATTATGCATAATGCATTTCCACACTGAAAGTACTGCTAGAATGATTGTTTCTTTATCTACAGTGTCTTTTCTGTGTGCATTACTGTTCTACAGTGTCCTTGAGGCAGAGGAACTCAACAGCTGCTGTATCTATAAATTACATTAAAAATAGATATGATGTCTAATAATGAAAACCAAGGTACATTATCAATGCATTTCTGGTGCTGTGTGCTTGTTATTTTTAAAATCATCTCACCCCAGTTTTTGAAGTTTCATGTGAGAATTCGTCAACATAATACAGATGTGCTTAACTCCAGTGTTTCCTAGTTTATTCTCACTCAGATCCAGCTCTATCAGGTGTGAAGGATTTGAACAAAAAGCTGATGATAGAGCAGCACAGCCTTCCTCTGTAATACTGTTCTTATTCAGCCTGCAGACAGAGTATAAAGAGAATAAGAATTTTTATCAATGCAAGACATTAACATTTTATGGGATCAATGTGCTGTTCTTCTGGTGTTCGTGGTTCAAACACGCCTGAAAAACTTCACAAGTTTCAAATACTTAGCATATCTATACAAAACTACATAAAAATACAAAACTAATAAAAAAACTACACACTTAAGTTTCTTAGTTCTGCAGTGTAAATCCTCTAGTAGATTAGAGATCTGCTTCATTTTTGAATCTCCTTGTATTTTCCCACTCAGGTCCAGCTCTCTCTGCAGTAAGGGGTTTATTCCTAGAACTTTAGTCAGAGAATCACAGACTTCCTCTGCAGTAGACCGTTTCAACAGCCTGCATAAAGAAAGAAAAAAAGAAGAATAACAATTATCAGGAGATCATGCACAATAAATAAAAATATTCAAATATTAAGCATTAATCGATGACAAAAAGGCTGAAAATTGTTAGATTCATGTGGAAAGCTTTGCTGTCAAATGTTCCTACTAAAACCATTTCTTGGTACCACTTATATTTGTGGTAGTAGAAATAGCTTACCTAATTGTTTTCAGTTTACAGTTTGGATCCTCTGGTAAATCAGTAAGCAGCTTCACCCCTGTATCTCCAGGATCGTTCCCTCTGAGATCCAGCTCTATCAGGTGTGATGATTTCAGAGCTGAGGCCAGAGCAGCATATCCTTTCTTTGTTACATTGCAGAATGAAAGCCTGGAAAGAGAATATGGGTTGATTATATTAAAAAGCATGTTGTAAATTTATTGTTTTTAAATTGCTTATGTTTCAAGCACATCTGCTTGTCTGCATTTCACGTACAGTCCAATCATTACAGTTATTGTATTACATTGTTAGGGTTTATATCTATTTTTTTTGTTGTTTATGAGTAAAGTGACTACAACTCACTTCAGCTTCTGCAGTTTACAGCACTGATTGTTCAGTAGAGAACAGATATGCTTCACCCCAGAGTTTCCTAGTTTATTCTTACTCAAATCCAGCTCCCTCAGATGTGAAGGATTTGAACAAAGAGCTGATGATAGAGAACGACAGCCTTCCTCTGTAATGCTGCTCTTATCCAGCCTGCAAACAGAGCAACAGAAGAGAAGAGTAGATTTCAATGAACTTCACTGAAAAACGAACTGTAGTGAAAAAAAAAGAAAAGAGAACTTGTACTGTTTTGATGTTGATGTTATTCTCTGTAGGTCTTTTTTGACCAATGCCATTGCATTAGTACAAAAAAAGTGATCACTAGCATTCCGAAAGTAGTGCAGTACTGTCTATATATGGAGATACTGACCCACTGTGTGGTACTGAGTACTCCATAAAATAGTGGTGACCCTGCTGCCAATCAATTTTTATGTTTTAAATTCTGTTACTTTAAACACAGCATCCAGCACTCTATGGATACTATGATATATTTGGAAGATATTATTTTGAAATATATCTGTACTGCCTAGCACTGTCAACAACGACAACGCATCAATGGATAATACCGAGTTTACTTAAATAGAAATATTATAAGTTGAAGTCCAAGTACATTAAAATACCTACTTAAGTTTCGTAGGTCTGCAGTGTAAATCCTCCAGTAGAGCAGAGAGCTGCTTCATTCCTGAGTCTTCTTGTATTTTACCACTTAAATCCAGCTCTGTTAACAGTAATGGGTTTTCTCCTAGAGTTTTTGTCAGGGAAGCAAAGGCTTCTTCTGCAGCATCACTTTTCAATAATCTGCAGAGATGGGAAGCAATCACTCACACTACTATCAATTTTGAAAAAATTTAAAAAAACATTCTCGTTTGAATATATTAATTTCTCCAGGATCGTTCCCTTTGAGATACTGTCATAAAAATAGCTCACCTCAGTGTCATTTTACGCTGTTGATGCTTCTGTAAATTAGTGAGCAGCTCCACTCCTGTGTCTCCAGGATCGTTCCCTCTGAGATCCAGCTTTATCAGGTGTGATGAGCAGTTTGATTTCAGAGCTGAGGCAAGAGCAATATATCCTTCCTCTGTTACACAGCAATCTGAAAGTCTATATAGAAGGCAACAATTATTCTTTAGCATTAAACAACACCAAAAGTAATGAAATGCTTTTAAAATATTTTTGTCAAGTATTTAAATATGCTACTAAATATACAGTAGGGGTGATTTTTAGACAACTTGACCAAAAAATAAGAGCTTGTTGTTCCTGCACTGTAAAAAAAAATATTCAATGTTTTAACTTAAAGTATCCTGGTTGATTTAAGAGTATTGATTTTGAGTAAGTTAAAAGAACAACTGTAAGTTAAAAGAACAAGAATATGTTTACCTATTTGTTATCTGAAGTTCAATGAACTCAACTTTAAGGCAACCAGTTTACTAACTTTTTCAAATTCAAACACAATCATTTTTACAGTGTGGAGAGTCTACATTGCATAACTTTGCAACATTTGTAACATTTTTGTCTTTTTGTATTATTGTATTTATGTAATTTGCCAGCTATGAATGATACTGTGTCAAACTGTAAAAAATGGTTTGCCAGTTCAACCAATAATGTATTCTTGTGGTAACAAGCATTTGAACTAGTTTTATTCAACTAGAGAAATTACACTAATTAAAGGAATCAACTCTCTAACAAAATTAAACTGTAATTTGCTCTTGATAAAAAGTCCCAAGTGCTGTGTAAACATAATGAAAACCATTATGAAATTTTAACCTATTCTGGTGCTCTGCTTATTATTTCACAACATCTCACCCCAGTTTATCTAGTTCACAGTGAGAATTCATCAACACATCACAGATCTTCTTCACTCCAAAGTTTCCTAGTTTATTCTCACTCAGATCCAGCTCTCTCAGATGTGACAGATTTGAACAAAGAGCTGATGATAGAGCAGAACAGCCTTCCTTTGTAATACTGCTCTTATTCAGCCTGCAGACAGAGAGGAATGGTAGAGAAAAGTTCAAGAACCTGGATTAATAAGAAATATTGCTTGGAAAATGTAAATGCAAATCTACCCATGCATATCTTTTTATTAAATATTTTTAAAATAGTTAAAAAAAAAACATTACTCTCTTAATCATATCTTGTGAACATCAGGTTGATCTTGTTCATTTTGTGTAGGTGATACAAATATTAATATAATTACTTTCTCTATTCATCAACTACCAAGTAAGACAATAACAACAAAAAAAACTTTAAACATGAAAATGATACTAAAAATAATAAATCATATTACACACTTAAGTTTCTCAGGTCTGCAGTGCAAATCTTCCAGCAGAGCAGAGAGCTGCTTCATTCCTGAATCTCCTTGTATTTTCCCACTTAGATCCAGCTCTCTTAGCAGTAAGGGGTTTTTTCCTAGAGTTTCAGTCAGTGAAGCATAGACTTTCTCTGCATCAGCACTTTTCAACAGTCTGCAGAGAAAAAAAAGATGTAAGAGTATATTGCATATGGTATATATTGCACTAAAGAGTTAAATGTTAAAGATGAATTCATGTGGGAAGCTTTATGGTCAAATACGCATTTCTAAAACACATTTATTTCAACCTTGTTAACTATTTCTTCTGGTGGAGAAAGAACATACCTAATTGTCTTCAGGCTACATTTTGGATCTCCTAGTAGATCAGTGAGCAGTTTCACTCCTGTATTTCCAGGATCGTTCCCTCTGAGATCCAGCTCTATCAGATGAGATGAGGGGTTTGATGTCAGAGCTGAGGCCAGAGCAGCATATCCTTCCTCTGTTATACTGCAGAATGAAAGACTGGAGAGACAACATATGTTGGCTGTACTAAAAGAGCATAAGGTATTTTAAAAAGGCTATATTTTGTGAGCATAATTTTGTTTGCATTATCATTATGTAATCCCTTCATTGTGTGTATGTATTACAAATGCATAGTGGTATTTAATATATTTAATGTGAAACAAATAGAACTCACCCAAGTTTCTGTAGTTTACAGTTCTGATTCTTTAGTAGTGCGCAGAACTCCTTCACTCCAGAGTTTCTTAGTTTATTCTCACTCAGATCCAGCTCTATCAGGTGTGAAGGATTGGAATAAAGAGCTGATGATAGATCTGCACAGTCTTTTTCTCTAATACTGCTTTTGATCAGGCTGCAAATAGAGTAAAGGAGGATAAAATTCATTTCAAGAAATTTCACTCAACATTAATGGAGTAAAAAAAAAACTGAAAACTAAAAGAGGAGTATGGCTCTCTTATTATTGCTGTTATTCTCTGCAAATGAACTGTGAAAAAAATGCATGCAGATTAGTTATTAAACTAGTTAGAAAGAATGGATATTATACTACCCAAAAAAATGAACACAAAAACCTGATGCATGTTTGTTATTGGTGCAAACCAGCTCCAGCCTTACCCACTCAAGACTACACACAACAGTGGCTGGTTTTTAGACTCATTATTGCTCACGTAAATTCATCTAAGGTTGTCCTTGGAATTTGTAAAGTCTTGCCATGTTTCAGTGCAGTTCTGAGCCATTTCCATTGTTACACTTCCTGTTTTGTGGCCTGTATTGACAATAGGTATTGGAAGTCCCCTTAATAAAGCTACAATACACATATCCTGCTGACTTCTGCTCATAAAGTCACAAAGTGACAATATACCACTATATAATACTACGCTAACATATTCAGTAATGCTTTACTTTAAAACATATTTGTTAAATATAGCCCAAATGAAATATTTATGCACTTATGTATTAAGCTTTCCTCATTAAAACATGTATTAATATATAACTGTACTACAAACACTTTGATAAGACCTTGCTATACAAATTATTCAGCAGGAAATATACAGACCACAGCAGTTACATTCTAGCACTGACATTCTGCTTCTTATTTGCCAGCTCCTTGTACAGATTTTCCCTTTGCACCCTAAATGGCGCAGCAATTATAATGCCAGAATGTAACAGTATAAGGTGGAACATGAAAATTCAAGCAAGAAGCCGGCAAATGTCCTTATCAGAAAATGTTACCAGCTTTAAAAGAACAATTAAGATCAGCTTATCAGGGAGCTAGTTTCTTAGAAGTGGGGTTTAGTTAGTTGCTATTTGCAACCTCACCACTTAGAGGTTACACACTTTAATCTTCCTTTAATGTTCCGCTATGACTATTGTGTCATCCTCATATATCCTCATAGGTAATCATCGATCATGTTTCTCCAGTCCTGCTTCTCTCATTATATTTTCAACATACAGGTTGAACAGGTATGGTGATAGTATGCAGCCTTGTCTAATTCCTGTGTCAGTGTGGAACCAGTCTCTTTGTCCATTTTCTGTCCTGACTGTGGCTTGCTAATTAGTGTAGAGGTTCCTCATTAGAATGACGAGATCCTCTGGCATTCCCATTTTCAAGTTGAAGGCTTTGCTGTAGTCAATGAAACACATATTGACTTCCTTTGTGAACTCCTTAAAGAGTTTTAGCCATCATAAATTAGAAGCTAAAAACATCTTTAAGTAAAACTGTTAAATGTAATTAGTAAATGTTACTTAGTGATTGCCTGCAATGGACTGGTGACCTGTCCATGGTGTATGCTGCCTTCCACCCAATGACTGCTGGGATAGGCTCCAACTCCCCCCACAACCCAGAAGGATAAGCAGCTTAGAAGATGTGTGTGTGTGTGTGTGTGTGTGTATGTGTGTGTGTGTGTGAGAGAGTGTGTACTTAGTGATAACAAAAATCATAAAAAGGTATTGAATTTGTGATGCAAACTCACTTGGTCATTTAGCTGTCATGCTGACACATATTGTTCACACATGCATTTGAAACATGTTTGGTCTTGAAATATCACATGGTTCTTTAAAAGGATATCATTATAATCAGTACAATCAAGAGTATTATAATAAATACTTCAATAGGAATGTTTTTGATGGCTGAAACTGCAAGTGATAATAAAAAGTTCCAGCTGTTTTTGGAATTTTATACAGGCAGAAAAAATAAAGTGGAACTTAAACTCAGAAACAAATTTTCATTTTGTTCACCTTTCCCTTCATGGCTTATATATATTTATATATATATATATATATATATATATATATATATATATATATAGATATATATATATATATATTTATTTATTTATTTATATTTATATTGAAAAATAAAAACAAACACATTAAATTACACACCTAAGTGTCTTAGGTCTGCAGTGTGAATCCTCCAGTAGCGCAGAGAGCTGCTTCATTCCTGAACCTCCTTGTATTTTGCCACTTAGATCCAGCTCTCTTAGCAGTAAGGGGTTTTTTCCTAGAGTTTCAGTGAGTGAAGCATAGGCTTTCTCTGCAGCATCACTTTTCAACAGGCTGAAGAAAGGGGAAAAACACACTCATATTACTAACAGTTTTAAACACTTTTTAAAGAATCATTCTCTTTCATCTGTTTACTTCCAAAAGTGTAGTATGATGTCAACATGAGCCAAAGCAGACTCAGCTGAAATCTAGCCTACTAACTCAGCACACTTTACAAACGGCAGTGAAATTAAATTTAAATTTTTAAATTTAAACACATCCAAAATGAAGAAGCAAGAGTCTGCAAATAATCTGTCTTAAAATTTCTTATAATTTGGTTAGAATGTTTGTATAACATGTATACTCTTTTAGTAATTAAATGTACATACCATAAGTTTTAATTTAGGAGGTATGTTTGAAGTTTGAAAACTATGAGCTCACAAATATCTACCTCAGTGTCTTCAGTTTACACTTTGGATCCTTTTGTAAAACAGTAAGAAGCTGCACTCCTGTGTCTCCAGGATCATTCCCTCTGAGTTCCAGCTCTTCCAGGTGTGATGAGGGGTTTGATTCCAGAGCTGAAGCCAGAGCAGCATATCCTTTCTCTGTTATACTGCAGAATGAAAGACTAAAAAAACAACAAAATTCTATCATTTTTGGCATTTTATCTTCATGTCATCAGAAGCATGATAACGACGTGATAATAAACACAAGCATTTCCGCTACAGATCTTGCAGCATTTCAAAACCTGCACTGACAAGTACCTCTACAGGACAATGCACAATATAGGTAACAATAATATTATTCAATATGTGATGGACGTTTGGAGAAAAAGTTGTTAACAAATAATATTGTAGATTGTACAAAGCAGGAATGTAAACCTTTTCTAAAGGGCATCCTTGACATTATTAGGTCAGCTGTGATGAGACATGGTGCTTTTTCATGGTGCATGGAGCAGAAAAATGTTTTGCCAACTCAAACATGCAGTTAGACAAAGCTAGAGGAGATGGGTGTTGTTGAAAGAGAGTTGAAACGGTGTTGTTTGAACACCCCCTATAATCATATCTTGCTTCATTTATGTAATGAAAGCATAGAATAAACTCAATATTGTAAACCTCAGAATGAAGAGAAGACTGGAAAAAAGTGCAGGGGATTAATTTAAATGTTGAAACTGTTGCAATGATTTTTATTGTGTAATCAGGTCAATTCCACAATACACTTCCGTATTTACCAGGCACCACAATGGAGGGATGAGAGTGTTTCTTTATTATTTTGATATTGTCAATTCAACTGGTTCATTTTATAAGCCCTCCAATAATTCACAGTTCATGGAACAGATCCACTGGTTTTTAATATATACATATAATTGATGAACTCACCTCAGTTTCTTCAGTTTACAGTTAGGACTCTTCAGTCTGGCAGAAAGCATCTCCATTCCTTTGTCATTTATAGCATTGCTGCTCATATCTATTCGAGTCAAGCTGCAGGATTCCGAACTAAGAACTTTACACAGAGCTGAGCAGCTTCTCTCTGTCAGGTTACATTTACTAAGCCTAAAAGTATAAAGTCAGAGAAGGGATAGTAATCAAAAAATATCCTACAATCCTAACAAATATCACACTTTAATAAAAAATTATAACAGAGTTTATACTAATTAATGAAGCATCTTGATCTCCAAAGAGCAGTCAAAGAATCTTGTTTTAGCTTAAGCCAAGTCATAAACATAGGTACATTGGATTAACAGAACTACATTGTAATTTTTAGGATAAATGCATTGATCAGGATCAGTTTACCATTACACCCCTAAAACATAGTATGCTGTCTAATTGTAGACGTGCTTTGTTTGTCTAGTTTTTCTGTATATAGGCTCCAACTTCCTAATATTTGCACTTCTCAGGCCAATTTGCACCCCAGTTTTGTATAATAGATTTTTATAAAAATAAGCTTTCAGTTTTTCAAAAAAATCTACGGGAATATTTTCCCAATATTTTTTCAGACCTCCAGTGTTCGAAACTGTGAACAGGCAAGTAAATGAAGGGTGTATTCTGACTTTTGTACTGCATATTCTAGGAGTGCTGAGAAATTGCCCAATGAGATTATGTAGAAGTTTTACTCAAAAATACTCAAAAATACTTTCATGTACACTTTGGAAGAGGTTTTATACCTACTTGACAAGTTAAGAGACAAATAAGGGAATTGTAAGAGTGTGTAAAGCTGCATTTAGGTAAGTGCATTTAGGTTACTTTGAAGAATAGAAAATTTGGATTCATTTAACACAGCTACACAATTCCATAATTGTATTTAGACATTTTTGCTATCATTCCAGAACATCTCTAAAAGCACAAATTTTAGAGAAATTGAGTGCTGAACTTGGTCACTGGCAGTACATTAATGCACAGAAAAATCCAGACCCAAATGGATTTAATCCCTTTATGCTGAGGCCAAATGGCAATTTCTTAGCCATTCTATGGATTTTATGTCACTGCTTAATTAATACAGTTTCTAAATGTATTGTTGATCTGTGTAGAGATACAGGTCTTACTTACAAGGCAGCTGTAGCATTCTTGACCACTGGCAGCAGTCTGATAAGGCACTCATCTGATCTGATGTAGTTCTGCAACTCAAACACTTCCAGCTTCTCTTTTGATGTCAGCAGCACAAAGACCAGAGCTGACCACTGTGCAGGTGAGAGTTCAGCTTCAGAGAGACATCCTGAGCTCATGTAACTCTGGATCTCTTTCACAAGAGAATCATCATTTAACTCATTCAGACAGTAGAAGAGATTGATTGATCTCTCTGGAGATGGATTTTGTTTGAACATTAACTTGATGTACTCAACTATGTCCTTCTGGCAGGTAGAATTGTCTCCTGTTTCTTTCAACAGGTCTCGAATAAGCCTCTCATTTGACTCCAGGGACAGGCCTAGAAGGAAGCGAAGGAAAAGGTCCAGATGTCCATGGTCGCTTTTCAATGCCTTGTCTACTGCAGTCTTGAGCAAATCAATTACTTTCGGTTTGTTGCTCTCCAGTGATGTGGACTGTTTGTCTAAAACATTCTTATCTTCATTTCTGAGAGATATGTATGCAAATAATGCAGCAAGGAACTCTTGAATGCTCAGATGCACAAAGCTGTAAACTGTGCCAAGAAATCTGACTGTTTCCTGAGTGCACAGTCCTGAGTACACTGACATCTTACTGGGGTCAATTCCACAGGCTTCTAGATGTCCTGTATAGAAGATGAGGCTATTTTCTTCCAAGTGCTGAAAAGCCAGCTTTCCCAGTGACAGAATGCCTTTTTTATCCCAGGGAGTGTCCAAGGCATTCTTTCCAGAGTACTTCACATTCCCCTGTACAGCCTGAAAGATCAGAAAGCAGGCGTACATTTCTGTTAGTGTCTTTGGTGTCTCCTTATTCTCTGATCCTTCCAAAATTTTCTGAAGTACAGTGGCAGAGATCCAACAGAAAACAGGGATATGGCACATGATGTGGAGGCTTCTTGATTCTCTGATGTGCTTAATTATTTTGTTGGCCTGGTTCTGGTCATTGATTCTCTTTCTGAAGTACTCATCCTTCTGCTCATCACTGAAACCACGCAACTCTGTCACCCGGTCAATAAACTCAGCACGGATCTTACTGGCTGCTGCTGGTCTAGTGGTTATCCAGATCAGAGCAGAGGGAAGCAGATTTCCCTTGATGAGGTTTGTCATTACAACATCCAATGGGGCTGATGTTGAGGCATTATACAACGTCGCATTTTCATGGAAGGCTAGAGGAAGCTGACATTCATCCAAGCCATCAAAGATAAACATAACTTTGTACTTATCTGAGAATCTCAGGCCTTGTGTCTCTGGGAAAAAAAAATAGATGATGTCCATCAAACTTTGATTTTCCTTCTTCAAGTTCAGTTCTCGGAAGGGAAGTGGGAATATGAACTTGATGTCCTGATATTCTTCACCTTCAGCCCAGTCCAAAATAAACTTCTGGACACAGATTGATTTTCCCATACCTGCAACCCCCTGAGTTATCACAGTTCTGATGGGTTTGTCTTGTTCAGATGATGGTTCAAACATGGTGTTGCATCTGATTTGTTTCTCTTGCTCCATTTGGTTTGCATTTTTCTTTGCATTGTTGTTTTCAATACGTCCAATTTCATGTTCTTTGTTTCCCTGTCCACCTTCAGTGATGTAGAGATCTGTGTAGATATCATCTAGATTTTTGGAATCTCCTTGCCTTGCAATTCCTTCATACACATGTTTACACTTTTTACTCAGATTTGATTTGAGTGTGCGTTGTTGAAATCCAATTAGGTCATCTAATTAAACAAATTTAAAACACAATAGAGACAATCAGAAAATAAAAGAATATATTATGCATTGGTGAAAAACAATATACAGACTCTACCATAGTGGGGTGGAAGGTTAGGATGATTCCAAGGGCCCCAAAGGGCTCCATAAAGATAGCATTTTAGTTATTTTGCATCTGATTTTTTTGGCTTCTTTTAAAGTGCTTCATTTAATAAATAATACTCAAAGGCTTGATTTAGATATAGTGTCAGCAACAATGCATTTTCCATTCTGTCCGCCCTCACCCCTGTATAATTCTAGTTTTGGGCCTGGGTAAAGTACAAATTAAAACCAAGATATCTCCATTAAATATCTCCATTGAATATTACAATCTGTAGCTAGATAAAATAGTTGTGGACATATTAGTGGGCATTGAATTATGTATCTATCCTATACTACTCCAAAACAGTTTGTGGCATGACAGCTGCGAGAGCTGTCAGGAAGGCAGGGCCCAAACTCAAAACCTAGACAAAACATCACAAAGACAGCAGGGAGATAATAAGATCCATGAAGGATTGGGGAGGCAGAGCAACGAGCGCTTGTTCCCTCTCGTCTCAGGTGTTCACGCTGCCCTTAAAGAGTAACTACACCCTAAGACCTTTTTTTTCCATTAACAGTTGAAATGCATTGCTCTGTAATATTAAAATATACCAGGCTTGCATAAAATGTAAACTCATCTTTCCAAACTGTAAAAAATATCATCATGGTCATTTCCGCCTCTGCAGTGCCCCTCTGGTTCAACTCCGCTATAGGCGTGGATGACGTGTCTTCATACCGAAGTATGACACGTCAACCAATGTTACCACCCCCTGATGACACCCTACTCATGCTGCACTCATAAATATGGAAGCACAGGAGCCTAGAGCGAGGATATAACCACACTCACACACTGAGCTAAATACCCCCAGCACCAACTCACAAGACTGCATTATGGCAGATGTCTCTAACAACTGTAAGTAACCCAATTAATCTAAGCTTAGTTTGTAATAAAGATTGATAATGTTAAACATATAACTAGGTAACCCGAAGGACCGATTAAGTGAGGATTCACGTTTTCCTTCACAAATCAAACTTGAGCACGCGCACTCACTGAACAGAAATCAACAGCAAACAACACTGGAACTACGGAATGCATACAGGGAAACACAGGAAAACATGAATTTGAGTTGGAACTGAATCAGATGTAACACCGGCAAATTTAGGGCCACTGCAGCAAACCCTGGCTGACCAGTGATTCAGTCTGTGACCTTGATGTCAAACAGAATGAAATTTGGACAGTGATCAAAGAAATCCACTTTATTAATTCGGAATTCAGTGCATCTAAGAAATCAGGATTTGGGTTATATCGAATATGGACCTGCTAAACCGATAAACTAGCTGTCACTGTTTGAGGGAAGGTTCTACCATTCAGACGCCTCTGCCGCTCGCTGCTAATCATTTTCTGGCACTGCGTTAACTCTTCGTTGGCTCATTAAGGCTCAAGACACGCTGCCTGATCAGAAACACCTTCCCCTGTCAAAGATGTGGATGGTAGTAAAGAAAAATCATCAATCTCGTAAGACTCTCAGTTGCAAAAGTGTTGTTTGATTCTGTCCCTTTCCATATTTTCTGGTAGCTAACGTTAGCTAGCTATAAAAACACAGCAGCTCAGCCCACCCGGTTTCCCTCCCAGCCCACCTCCAAACCCAAACATCACTGCAGTGCCCCTCCCAGCATGCTCCTCCCATTTTTGAGCATTTTTCAAATTGTGCCAGGGGTTGAAGTCAGCTGAAAAGAGTAGGGTGTAGTTACTCTTTAATGAGAGCCAGCTGATGCTGATCTGGCATGGCAGCATGGGCATCTTTAAAAAAAGAGGAGAGGGAGAGAGGGATGAGCAGTAGCAGCAGACTGACGAGCTGAAAAGCTTAGTTTGGACTGAAAAGTTTAATTTTGAAGCCATTGAAAAGTGGTCAGCTTTGGTTTGGTTGTGAGTTGTTTGTGTTTGTTTAGAGTCAAAAATAAAGTAAAATGGCTGCTGTGACCTTCAACCTGCCTCCAGCGTCCTTCCTGAGCCCGGGGTAGCACAGGCCGTGCTACACAGTTCATTATAGATTTCTGCTTTGTGGATCATGATGCAGCACTTTTGAGAAGCATTCAAAATTGTGGCCAGTTGTATAGAGTATGTCACAATTCAATTGTGTTGGGACAGTTCTACTAAAGGAAATGAGATAAGGCAAGGGGCACATGTATAAAGATTTCGGGGACACAAAATTCCTGCCAGCACCCCTGTATAGACTATGTAGTAATCTCATCTGTAACCTTAGACAAAAACAAACACTGAATATGAAGTCATAAAACAGTGAAAATAACCATTCTGTACTCAAAAATGAACAAACGATTGAATATACAGGAAATATATCTTGTCATCTGTTGATCTGTTACCTTGCAGTGCCTCAGCAAGGTCCTCATGTTCCATCATCTTCAGGAAGAACAGCGTCATGGTAAGAACTCCCTCTCTTAAATTCCACATTTCTTCCTTCATATCTCCGTAATAATTTGTGTTTTCCTTTCTCAGAAGATTCTTATACATTTTCAGCTCATGCTTTATAAACACGAAGATTTTTTTCTGAAGATCCTTAACAGAAGATATACATAGGGTAAAGAAAATTAATTAAAAGACAAATAATTAAATGAGTAATTATCATTGTAATATGATAAACATGATTTGAATTATTTTACATTTTTGTATGCAAAATGCAAGTATTTTATTTGACTCTTCAGTGAATGCCAAATTACAAAAGACTCTAAATGAAATTTATGTTCACAGTGTTTGTAAAGTGAACAATGCATTGTTGTTTCAACTTTTTAAAACTGCAATTTTAGTTTTTCCTCAATTACTTAGATGCAGAGAACCAGATGGACTACAGTCTGGAACTGTATAGCTACAAAGTGCACCTACATGGCAAATTGGCCTGATAAAATGGACAAAGTGTAGATACAAGCAGGTGTACTAAATGAACTGGCCAGTTTGTGTAGGTTAAAAACATTAAGTGCTGTTAAAATTTTCCATCAACTATCTGTTCTACCATTGTAGAGCTCAAAAACCACAAGATAACAACCAATGGTTTATTCATTCTGTTTCTGTAGGCTAACTGATGCATAAGATGAAGATGCAGGGCCAGGACCAGAAGTGACCACTGCTCTAAACACATAAATTAAGACTGTAAATAAAAGTCTTAGTTTTAAGTGTTTTTGTATGTGACTGACAAATTGTCTCTTAAATGAAAAACTGTGTATTTGTAATGGCAAAGTGTAGTCAGTGAAAAGAAATGTTGTTATTGTGAATTAAGTTATTTATTTATGCTTTAGAGTTGGTGTCTCCACCCACCAACTGCCCCTCACTCCTTGCTCCCTGGACCTCACTCCTGCCCCAGCACCAAAGTCTATTTCAAATCTATGGGGAAAACCTCATGTTTCTTCTTGTGTAAAGGACCATGTATTCAGTTTGTACTGGTGAACTGTATAAAAAATTTACTTAGTATTGCTTTCACATTGCTAATCATCACAAACATACTAATAATATTACTAATAATACATACTAATACATATTAATAATAAATATTATTCTGCGCCAAATCTAGGTAAGTGTATAGCAGTGTGTAGCAGTCTATTCACCTCCATAATAATACAGAAGAAGGAGTACTATACTGACACTGGTATGTGTCAGTCATAGGCACAATGGCCAAGTAGACCAACACAGCACTGCAAATCTCTCACAAACAACTCACAAACATTCCAAACTTCCTGGAAGATATCAGTGGCTAATTAAGTTACTTACACAAAGAAAACAACAACAACAAACAAAAAGAACGGAAACTTCTCTCTGTACCTACCAAACACATAAACACACACATACCAACAGTCATAGTCACATCCAGACAGATAGACTTGCTATTAAGAATATCTACAAAACGAAAAATCCTACATTATAAGAACAAACAGCACAGCAGAGGTTCATATGTGGTGTGTCACTATTAAAGGACCATTGTTAGGTGGAACTTGTCCTTAGCACCAGTGGTCTGCTGAGGAGTTTGCTGAGGGAATAAAGTTTGTGAAGCAACTTTCTGAGGGAGATAGCAACATAGCTAGCGAATAAAAATACCTTATTTCTGTGCAGCCTAAGTTTAAGGTTAGTAAATGTGCCTACTTAAAGTGATGCCTTCATAGAACATTTAACGATTTACATATTTATGGATTTTGGAAGAATTCTGTAGTATAAACCTTCCCCTATTATTATTATTATTACTACTAACATACCCACTATATTACTTTCACATTATAGTAAGGATAACTATGATTTTAGTAACATTCCTGGGGCATGTATGTATAGTCTTTTAGCTACATAATCTACACTCTAAGTCTGTATACAAATATACATATTAAACACTAGTGCCATTAATAAGAAAAAATAATAAATCAAACTTTAGTTAACAGTATTGTTACTATTCAGTCATGATTTTTTTGTGTGTCTTTTTTATACAGAGAGCTTTCTACTGTAATGCGAACTGCCATCCCAGTGCTGCAGCATTTCTGTGCTTGAAGCAACACCAGGAATGACTTCAGGCTCAGCCGGCCAGCTCCTTGTTATGCTGTGCAGCCTTGTTATGCTGTGCAGGCATTTCCTCTTGGGTAATGTGGGAACAAATCCAATATTTGTTCCAAAAGTAAATATTATTTCTGTATTAAATGTGTAATTCATCTAAAGCAATAGTGTCCAGTGTTATCCTCAAAGGGCCAGTACGGTTGCAGGTTTTCATTCTAACAAAAGTGGAGCACAGGAGCAAGTGGAATAAAGAGTGTTCCTGCTTTGTTGGAATGAAAACCTGCAGAGATATTGCCACTTTGTTGAATAGACTGGACACCCCTGACCTGAAGTTATTCATATATACACGCATCCTACACAAATACAATGTTGTTCTTTTGTTGTTGTTTTTTGTAAGTTCAGGTCATAACTGCTTGTGCCATCCTTCACAACGTGTGCCTTGAGGTTGGTGACGTGGTAACTCCTGATGATGAGCCAGAGGAAGGAAGACTAGTGGAAGAGAACGAAGTGGCACTGGAGGCTTCCAGTGGTGCCAGGTTGCAAAAGAGCCTTTTGTGTTGAGTGTCTGCTCTTCAGCAGTTTTGAAAGTGTACTTAAGCATTAAAACTAAAAATACTTTGAGTTATTATAGAGCTTGTATACTTTTATTTTGATGAATATGTTCTATTAAGGAGAGCTGTGTGGCTGCAGACATGAAAAACTTGTCCATTTTTAGAGCATCACAGGACTCCTTAAAAAGAACTTGTTCTTTAAAATAAAATAATAACAAAGAACTTTTAATTTGGATACATACAAGACTTACTACACCCGAATACAGTTTTTCATAAGTTGTGTTTTCATTGTAAGAGAAAATACAAAAATTCCACAAATAAATATTTATTGTTTATTTTTTTATTTATTGCATTAGTACTATGTTATTTAAACTAAATTTGCAGATTAATTGATTTTTCAAGTAGCAAAAACAGCCTATGCCTTCCTCTTTGCCCCACTTTCCTTCTGAAAAGTGATGTACAGCAGGAGAGTTTGAGATGACATCAAGAAGGATTCTGTTCCTCTGTTTCAGAGACAGAATTGGACCGGACGTCTGAAAAGCATTGGATCAGCTGTTATTGCTGAGTACAGTCCGACACAGTTCAATCCCGTCCGCATCCTACGGGTTTTCATGCGTTTTATCGCTGCGTGTGCTGTCATTGCCTAGGGACACCTGTGGTTCTGTGTACTCTCGCTCATTATATTCTGTTCTGAACTCTGTGTTTGCAATGTAACTGCTGTCTTTCTGCATTTTGGATATAGTAGCTTGATTGTTATATTTGTGCATATTATGTAAAAATTCTCTGTATCGGAAGTCTTGTTTCACTGGTTAGTGTGTATTACTATAATACAGTTCCATTTTTGCTTTAATCCTGTGTGTTGTTTTTGCCTTATTTTTTCCATGTTTTACACTGCAATATATACACCACTTACTTTTTACCATTGTTGGTTAACATACATTTGATCTATAACACTTTGTATTAATAAATTATAAACACTGTGTATGGTTATGTACCCTGTGTATGATTATGGTCTGCATACCACAAACAATTACTGTGTAAATACTATGTAACCAATTACTATAGAATTAATTACTCTACTGGGAAAAAAGGTACTTACTGAGTACGTAGTGAAAAGTACAGTAAAAATTTTACACTATTGTCACCTGTATCTGCAATCTAGTCTTCTCTACCACACAGACATTACATAGACATGTACTTCCTGAAGCAGTTTGGTAGTATTTGCAATTACCATGTATCTTTTCAGTATTAAAAGCTGAAATTTGCCTTTTTTCCTCACTGTGGAAAAAAGTTGTGGCAGTTACATATTAAACGTGCAAAGTATTTATTACTTGTAAATATGACATTTACCATTAAATTCTAAGTACTGCTGTACATACCTGGCATGTACTTGCCAAGTGTGTACCAAGAAATCACTACATATTTACGTATTAAATACTAAGTACTTATCGTATAGTACAATAAGGTGCTACTGTGGTGTATTTATCCACTGCAACTCATGGCACTATGTGTGGATGGTGTTGTGTGCTCTGTTGCATGAGAACTTTATGACTTGTGAATGTTTATGTTTTGTGCAGAGTACCAAGACCTCCTGAAATGTATGCACTATGGTATGTGTGCTCAAAAGCAAAGAAGAGAGGGGAAACAGATGGATGGTCTTATCCTGTAGAAGGGCTGAGTAGTTATTTGAGGAATGTAAGAATACTGATGTCAGAAGCAGCTGATTGAATTTGAAGGGTAAAAATGGTATAGGGTGATGCATTTCAGGAGGAGACAGGGAGCCTGAGGATAGTGTCACTTGGTATACAAACGTATGCATGCTATAAATTAAGTGTGTTTTGTACCCTGCAGACTATGTTCCCTATCTGTTTATGAAAATAAAGGGATTAAAGCAGTAAAGGAAACTTCTCTGTTTTATTTAAATTAAATTTAAGTAGTCTGTGACCACAGTGAGCTTTCGCATAGTCAGCAGGATAGGCAAAAGCCAGATGGATGTGATTTGACCTTTAGGACAGCACCTTGGGGCCTGGCTGGACCCAGAACGGACAAAGAGGTGGCCACCAGACAAAAGGTAAGCACTTTAAAAAGTACCAAGTGAGAATTTTCTTGCTGTATTTAAGGTGTTATTGTGTGTTTGAGTGAGATAACAGATAGCTAATGTGAAAATTAAATACTGGTCTGAATGGGTAACTCACAGATTTGGCTTGTGGTAGAGTTGTGGATACCGCAGTATTTGAGATAACAAGGACTATAGTTCATCATATATAGTTATCATCTTGGGTTTGGGGTGTTTGACCGCCCTGTGGCTTTTTAGCCTGGTTTTCATGGCTCAATGAGTGCGAGGGGGAATTGCAGGCAGTTTTAAGTCCTGGAAGTACAGAGTTTAGTTGTGAAGCTATTATTATATCTTTACTTAAACTTGTACTTGTGAATGTCTGGAAGTACAGAGATAGTTCCTTCCTAATAGTCACTATACTTCTTTGTCTACTGAGTAACAGCATTTAGGAGATGAAATGGCATGTATAAAAGCATGCAGTGTGTTGATGTGTTGATGTTGTGAAACGTATGTTGAATGTATGTGTGTCCACAATTACGGCTAGATAATGGGTTTACTGAAGTGAGGATAATAAAAATTCAAAGAAGGCGAAGTGCCACACTACCGTGATTACTGATGATACTACAGTCTCAATACTGACGTTTATTATTAGGTTTTCTATTAAACTCCGCAAAGAAAAACAGCTCCGATCTATCCCTACTGCATATAAATGCTACTACATGAAGTACAGCAATGTAAAACCTTCAGGATGTCTGGAAGGAAACAACAAGTCTTTTTTGGTCAAAACAAAATGTAAACAAACTACAGACTTACCAGGAAATAGCTTAAAAGAACTAGCTACGCATTTTATCTTTGTATAACACATTTAAAAGCAGTATTAGCAGCTCAGAGCAGATTAAAAACATAGTACTACTAACTGGAACTAAAAGCTAGCAATGTCCTGAATAATATTAGACATGGGTTTATATAAGCTTGCTTTTCTCCTAGTTTAGTCCTAGCTAGCTAGTTTAACTGTGTTTTGATGAAAGGCAGCTGACTTAACCACAGCATCAAAAATAGAAATTCGGCATCAACATCCAGAGCTCTGCCACTCAGCTTGGTTGATCACAATGGGAGAGTTTTGGTTTTGTTGTTTACTTTCTGCTTGTAATAAAGTAGTGACTGTTGCTTTTTTTAACAACTGGTTGTCATTGCTTCATTACAGCCAAAAAGGTGGAGTGATACTTAAAGAGATTCTGTTGGAGTGCCATTATTGGGAGATACTGGGACTCAAAGAATGCCACTCAGCTGATCATGCTGTGAGTTCGGAACTAACTGTGGTATAATGAGTTTTTTCACATTTCTTTTCCCACAAATATAGAAGCTTCTAGTGGTTAAAATCAATGCAAGGCATATATTACTTATCAAAAAGACTTACATTGAAGATGTTGTAGAGAAAGTCTGTACGCTTCTTTTGAAGCTTGCGATTTTTCACAGTAGACTCTGACCCCTTATGGTCCCTGCAATCATAATAAATCTCTTCAGCCTCTTTTGATAAACAAATAAAATTAAACAGGAGATCATTAGGAAATATCTTCATACCTTCCCTCAGTGGTTGACCGTCCGGGTGACTCTGAATTCTGTCTAAAGAGCAAAAGGGAAAAGCATTACAGCATTAAACATGAACTGCATAGTTTCTTAAAAACAATATCACATTGTTTGAATTAAACAGTCTGATTGATTCCATAAGAGTGTTGGTACTTTTTGTATGCAGTGTTGGGTAACCCTTTTTGTTCCCTGCAATCATAATAAATCTCTTCAGCCTCTTTTAATCAACAAATAAAGTTAGACAAATAAAATTAAACAGGAGCCTCTTCATACCTTCGCTCAGTAGGTGACAGCTTTATATGTCCAGGTGACTCTGAATTCTTTCTAAAAAGCAAAAGGGAAAAGCATTACAGCATTAAACATGAATTGCATAATTTCTTAAACAATGTTATGTTGTTTGAACTGAACAGCCTAATTGATTTCACAGCAGCGCTGGTACTTTTTAATTACAAATTACATCATTAAACATGTAATCAGTAATGTAATATTTCAGATTACTCAAAAAACATAGTCTAATCTGATTGCTTTTGGATTTCATCTGGTCTTATATTTCTCTATGGTGCCTTAAAAATTGGTAACTTAAAAACTTTTTAAAATTACTAACAGCACAGCCAAAAAATGAACAATTTCCTTCTCATTGACATGTTTCTTAATCCTGACTCTCTCCATGTATTTCCTGAACGTCCGCTTCATTTTCTTTTATAGTCCCTGCTTAGCAACTGTTACACTGTCAACCTTTAACTCGGTCCAGCTTTCAGGATTTTTAGCAGCAAGCTAAAGGTTCCCTTAAAGGTACTTTGAATCTGAAGCTCCAGATAGTCAAAAATGTACCTGGGGGATTCTGAGTAAGAGAAAAAAGTTGCTGTGTTTTTGTTGGCTGTGATCTGGCTACTTTGGGGCATAAAGTCAATAAAGTGAGGGGAGGAGTTACAGTTGATGGCCTGTAACTCATTCAGAGTGGTTTGATGTGAAATGCTGCTCTCTATAGAAACTCAGCAAGTCCGAACTGTTCACAGCACTTCGGAGGTGGTCAGAGATAGATCGGCACTACATTTAACACATTGAACAAGTGTAAATGGTATGCTTTTTCGTTATCGAAATACAAATACGTGAGGGGAAATGTGTCTGCTGAGCACCGACTAGCAGCAGGAGAGAGGATAAATAATAAAAAAAATGAAAGATGGAGGCTGAAGTTATCACCAAACCAAGAGCCTGCTTGCACTCTGGGCTGATGAAAGTGTCCATGCCAAGGACATTTTATTATTCTTTGTTTTGACCACATGGGCAGCACGGTGGTGCAGCAAGAAGCACCTGGATTTGATTCTCAGCCAGGCGACCAGGGTCCTTTCTGTGTAGAGTTTGCATGTTCTCCCTGTGTCTGTGTGGGTTTCCTCCCACAGTCCAAGGACATGCAGTCAGGCCAATTAGACATGCTAAAGTGAATGTGTGTGTGTGCATGTATGTGTCTGTCTGTCTGCCCTGCAATAGACCCGTACAGGGTGTATCCTGCCTTCTGCCCAATGATAGCTGGAATAGGCTCCAGCTCCCCCCGTGACCCAGATGGATAAGTGGTTTAGATGACGTGTGTGTTTTTGCCACTTCACTTATAACATATTTCTATATCTTATAACACCAAAACCTGGAATACCTTTTCCAGGAGATTGGATTTTTTGTGAAATGGACAGTGATATTTTTTGCCTGCTTCTTCCTCATGGGCTCTTGACTGGATACAGAGGGATCAGTGTTACTAAGAAAGGGAGAGAGAGGAAATCACTTCAGCTTATTGTGTTTCTTTGTTCAGTCAGTCGCCAAAAATGAAAGCACTCATAGGAGCATGCATAACTGATGAGCATGATCTCTTTGTCACTGAACTTTCATTTTCTTTTTTGTCTCAGGAGTATATCAAAGCTGCACCTACGCTCGTATGTACATCTGGCCCTGAGGGTTTCTGTATGTCTATGAGGACTGTGGAATCTTGTGTCAATTTTGTCTATGTTCCTTTGTTTTTCTCCATCCAAGAAGACATGTCAGCACTGCTTGAAATCCATGAATCTTGGTTAAAGTGACACTGTGGATTATTTGAGACCTTTCCAGAGACCACACTATTCCAGAAACCAGACCAGTTTTAGGTATTTCCTTTACATTTATCACTCATTTAAATTGAGCTACCGATGATCACATGGCTATCTTATGTCTACCTCAACTATTGATTGTAGATGCTTCCTACAATGGAATGTCTATCATTCTTAGTAACTTCACAAACAGCTACTTATGTGTGTTTATCACAGAATGTCTGTTGTCCTGACATGATCCTTAGCAAATGTATCATTAGCTGCAGAGGAAATACAGTATAAAAGACTGTATACTAGAGCTGTTGCCAGACTGGGCTACTGCAGACTGAAGCACAGCATGCTCTCTAATAAAGATTTTATCACTGCAGTCTCCTGGCTCTCTCCTTGGCATGGAAAAAGATTAGAAGCTTGTGTGTTGGACTGAGGGCTGTCAATCATGCACACTCATCAGACTTTTAGGCCTTGTCCAGACAGTTCTCATACATATTTTTAATCCTTGTTTTATTATAATCTTGTTTTTTTATTCACACTTTGCAGGAAATTTTAATATAACACAAAATTTAGTATGCCAATTTTTAAAAATAATTTAGACTGTGGTCCCTGGGACTTGGCCACCATCACCATAATGACTGATTTGATTCAGTAACTTGCGTTGTCAGAGTGCTACTGGGGAGAGACCTGAGGGTTCCCTCACAACCCCATAATCTCTCTTTCTCTTTTTCTTTCCCTTGTTGTTGCCTTTCCATATATGTTTTTCTGTGGGTAACATTTTTTTCTTCCTGCTGAAAATGTTTTTTTTTTCTCTATCATTTAACTAATTGGTTTGATTTCCTACTTTTGGTACTTTTGGTCTTTTTGTACGTGATCACTATCATAGAAATCATAAATTTCTCTTCTATTTCTAAACTCTGCCTTAAAAGGAGTTGAGCTAAAATTTACAAGTCTGATTAAGTGAAAAAGTTACTTTGTACATTTCAAAAAATATCCCATTTGTAGAAAAAGACAGCATAGTACTACTACTACTACTAATAATAATAATAATAATAATAATAATAATAATAATATCATGCTCTGCACTGAATGTAGCACTGCACTGAATTCTCAGTTTGGAATACCTTTCTTGAGGGGCCGATCCCTCTGTGAAGGTAAGAATTTCATCCATTGACTGGTCACTCTTCATAGACAAACTGGATATAGGGGAGATTGACCTTTCCTCAGGTCTACAATGAAAAGTGTGAAAGAAAAGATGCCATAAATTGTATCCAATAAAATGCAATTATTCCCACTGCAAGATACTGTGTCATCTGAAAGCATTACATGGTTTATTATTATAATTAATCATCTGCTTACACACACCACTCAATTTACTCTGTAACCAAAGCAACCTTACAAAAATCTGGATTCTGACATCCAACAGGCAAAAGAAGGGCTGCGGTAGTTAAAAATTCCCTGAGATCATGTGGGAGAAACGTCTATTCAGTGCTTTAATATGAATTGTTCATTCAACACAAATTTGCTTAGAAATATGTGCTTACTTACATGTGTCCACAAAAATCTGAGGAGACAGATTTGGACAGGATAAGGATGAGCAAGAAGGAAAGAAAGGAATACCTTTCCTGAGGAGCTGATCCCTCTTTGAATGTGAGAGGTTCTGCCACTGAGTGGCCACTCTTATAAAAGCTGGATACAGGGGAGTTTGATCTTTTCTCAGTTCCACTAAAATAAGACAGAAAGGTGTGTCAGAAATTGTGTACAATAAAAACACACAAAACTCAGTAGTCACCCAAATAGCTCAAATAACTTCTGTAAAAATACATCAACAAAACTTTTTCATCTACTTTCAACCTGCTCAAACCGCATCCAGGTCTACATAAGATCAGACAGACATGTCGACGTGGTTTAGGGCATAGTATGACTTATAAAACATACTGTAAAAATGAACAAATTTCCACTGTGTGGTTGAATGGTGTGGACTGCCACTTTAGACAACAGAGCCTGTATTCATAAACCTCAGGAGTAGGAGTGCTGATCTAGAATCATTTATTTGCGTCAGTGACAGTCTTAAACATGGTGGAATCTGATCCAATATTTTTCTGTATTTCTGTGTTGTCTGAAATGGCTGCCCATAGCGGTGCCCATGCTCATAGTTCTGTTTATTTTATAGCTCACAGCAAGTCATAGTGTGTCGTAGTCAAGACCACTGGACTATTTCCTCCATTTGAAGGCATAGTTGATGTTCAATAATGATAGTAAAAATTTCACTTTCCTAATATCTCAGATGGAGGAATTAACCTTGGCTGTTCTCAAGGATGATTTGTAAGTCCACCTTTTCCTAAAACAGAAATAAGACCTAGTCAAAATGTTGTCAAGACCAAGATAAGTCTGAGATTGTTTGTTCATTTACAGTTGAGACTGGTCAATTTGTGCAATTTCTGCTCTAGATCTGCCCCGGTCAACTGTGAGTGTTATTAATGTGAAATGGAAGCACCTAGCAGCTCAGCCAAGTAGCAGTAGACCACACAAATTTAAAGAGAGGGGCCACTGAATGCTAAAGCATGTACAGTGTAAACATCACATATCCTCTGTTACATCACTCACTATAGTGTTCCAAACTGCTTCTGGAAGCAATATTAGCACAATATTAGCAACTAGGCACCGGGCACTTCATGAAATGGGTTTCTATGGCTGAGCAGCTGTACACAAGCCTAAAATCAGTATGCACACTGCCAAGCATCAGCTGGAGTGGTGTAAAGCACACAAAGTTTGGTGGGGGAGGGATAATAGTCTAGGGCTGTTTTCAGGGTTTGGACTCAGCTCTTTAGTTTCAGTGAAGAGTGATGTCAATGTTACAGCATACAAAGACATTATAGGTAAGTATATGCTTCCAACTTTGTGGCAACAGTTTGGGGAAGGCCCTTTCCTGTTTCAGCATGACTGAGCCCCAGTGCACAAAGCAGCTCCATAAAGACATGGTTTGGTGAGTTTGAACTCCAGTGGCTCGCACAGAGGACTTACATCAGCCCCACTTTGGGATCAACTGGAATGTTGACTGTGAGCCAGGCCCTCTCGTCCAACATCAGTTACTGACCCACAAATGCTCCTTTGACTGAATGGGGACAAATTATCAAACGCTACAATATCTTGTTTAAGTCCTTTCCAGAAGAGTAGAGGCTTTTATAGCTATAGAAGGGGCAACTACATATTAATGCCCATGGTTTCGGTGTGACGTTCAGGTGTATAATATAATATGTGGTCTTTCACATTTTCTCTGTTGGACTGTAAGACATGCATCTGTGGATGGGATCATGATGAGCACTGAGACAAGAAAGGAATACCTTTCCTGAGGGGCTGATCCCACTTTGAAGGTGAGAGGTTCTGTCTTTGAGTGATCACTGTTCAGGGACACATGGCTGGATACAGGAGAATTTGACCTTTTCTCAGTTTCACTAAAATCAAACAGAAAAATCCATTGGACATTTTGTCTAATAAAATGTGGTTATTCCCATGCAAGATGCCTTCCGAACCCATAACACTGTTTAATAATTACTGTCTACAATTATTATGCTAACAAAGATAGTTAAGAGCTTAACTACAAAACACGGGTCCCAACTCAGTGTAAAAATGAAAAAATATCGAACAATAAAAATTAGAGGCTGACTGGGTAATGACATTGTAACATGACACAATGTAACATTAGCCTTTTTCCAATGTATTGTATATGAGTTAAGCCAATAACAGCAACTAAATAAGATTAAATTAAAACTAAATAAAGAGCAATAGATGAGAGCCACAAGTCAGATCGTGAAATTTCTGCATTGCTAGATGTGCCCCTGTCAACTGTGGGTGCTATTATTGTGAAATGGAAGCCTCTAGCAGCAACAGCAGCTCAGCCATGTAGCAGCAGACCACATAAACTCACAGAGAGTTTAAAGCATGTATAGTGTCAAAGTCGCCTATCCCCTGTTGCATCACTAACTACCGAGTTCCAAACTGCCTCTGGAAGCAACATCAGCTCAAGAGCTGTGCGCTGGGTGCTTCATGATATATGGCTGAGCAGCTGCACACAAACCTAATATCACTATGTGTAATGCCAAGCACCGGAATGGTGTAAGCATTTAGACTCCGGAGCAGTGGAAATGTGTTCTCTGGAGTGATGAATCAAACTTCAATATCTGGCAGTCTAATGGACAAATATGGGTTTGGCGGATGACAGAAAATGCATAATTTCAGTAAAGGGTAGAGATTCCCACAAACTTGCTCCACAATCTTTTGGAAAGCTTTCCAAGAAGAGATGTTAACTCTTAGATAGAGATAACTTGGTAACACTTTACATTAAGGGTCGCTAATCAATCATTAAATATATAATAATCAACTATTAGTTTCACATTATTTAGTTATTAGTTAACTCTTCATTAAGCATTAGCTATTACTTAGTAATTGATTAAGCACTTATCAATTAGTAATTAAGTACACTGTTAGTTGATAAGTTAGTTTGTCGTTAGTGTATGTCTTACTTACTCATTATCTGTGTGCTAATTGCTGTTGTTAATTAACTAATGTATTTTTCTTCATATAAAGAAGTAACGTAATAACTTACTAGCACTTATGTGTTAATCCCGCTAATTATCTGTTAATTAACTTTCCATCACCTCCATATATTCAGTTGCTTCACTTTTCTCACTTTGGTTCATTAAAGATGCTTATGGTCACATCTGGCGGTAAGATGAGCGCACACAAATTCATGGACAGATTTGTTATTCATCACATTCATCTTTGCATATCTGTACTCATATCTGGTAGGAGTGCATGTAAATTTGGGCATAAATGCTGGATATGTGGCTAATTAACCAAAACTATTATCAACATAATCTGTAATAACAAAAATAAGAACAACAATAGAAAATTTCAATAATACTAATTTGTGTGCACGACAGTCCAGTACAAAAGTGAATGTACTTACTTTACATGCACATTGATATAAACAAGTGCTGCAACTATTTCATGTTCCATTTAAAGACACAATACACTGTGTTTTTGTTTCATACTACTGACTCACAAACACAGCTTGTGCCATACACTGCAATAATACAGCGTTTATTTTAGGGAATTAATTACACTAAACAATCACTCTACTATGTTAACAACACTGAGTATTTTGTTTTATTTCACGTTTTATTTTTTCCAGTTGTTGTCATTTTAATACTATTAAGTTTGGTCAGCAGGGGAGGAGTGCACTCACTGCTGGACATCAAACTCCACCCATGAGCACGGCCATTAGCTTTCATGCCAAACACTGCCGTTTTATTGGCTGGCTACTGAAACATCTGCATGAATTAGTGTGTGCTTCATGTAAGTGATATGTAAATGAGGTGCTGGTAGGCTGGTTTCATGCACTGAAGCTGATTTATCATTTATACTCAAATCTCCACTTGTTTCCACATCGTACAAAGTTGTTATGAATCAGACGCAGAGCAGTTCATACCTTATAAAAGGCAAAAAACGTGTTCTTTTTTTTTTACGTAACTTTGATGATTAATGGGCCCTTTTCACAAGATTCGTGATTACTTCCGGTTTAAGCATTAGCAGGGTAAAACTCACTTCCTCTCCATATAGCTACTGCAGACGCGATGTCAGAATGTTTAGTAGTGAACTGTAACACTCAAACACTGAGCTACAGCAGCTGTATTTTAGTGTTCCTGCACGGCTGTGACAGTGAGAGTAAGAAGTGGCCGGAGGCGCTGATTTAACTGTAAACAGAGCTGAGATGCTGTAGGTTGATTTACTGCAGTTCTGCTGCAGCTGCTTCACATCAAGCAGCCTCTGTGTCTTTGTACAACATGCCAGCGACGTCAGTAATATTCTTTTTTCAAAAGAAAGAAGAGCTTTTATATGTAGCATGAATGTTATAGACTTTGTCTATATTAAGCTAGCTATACTGGCTAGAAGCTACTGCTAACCAAACTAGCCTGGCTAACATGAAGCAACTTTTTCAGATGTTTTTTTTCAGCTAGGATTCTCGTTTTTGACTGAGCAATGAAAGGTGGATGTTTTTAAAGTTACATAAAAAAAGAACACGTTTTTTTTTTGCCTTTTATAAGGTATGAACTGCTCTGCGTCTGATTCATAACAATTTTGTACAATGTGGAAACAAGTGGAGATTTGAGCATAAATGATAAGTCAGCTTCAGTGCATGAAACCAGCCTACCAGCACCTCATTTACATATCACTTACATGAAGCACACACTAATTCATGCAGATGTTTCAGTAGCCAGCCAATAAAACGGCAGTGTTTGGCATGAAAGCTAATGGCTGTGCGCGTGGGTGGATTGATGGGTGGTTTGATGTCCAGCAGTGAGTGCACTCCTCCCCTGCACTCCTGACCAAACTTAATAGTATTAAAATGAAAACAACTGGAAAAAATAAAATGTGAAATAAAACAAAATACTCAGTGTTGTTAACATAGTAGAGTGATTGTTTAGTGTAGTTAATTCCCTAAAATAAACGCTGTATTATTGCAGTGTATGACCGAAGCTGTGTTTGTGAGTCAGTAGTATGAAACAAAAGCACAGTGTAATGTGTCTTTAAATGGAACATGAAATAGTTGCAGCACTTGTTTATATCAATGTGCATGTAAAGTAAGTACATCCACTTTTGTACTGGACTGTCATGCACACAAATTAGTATTATTGATATTTTCTATTGTTGTTCTTATTTTTGTTATTACAGATTATGTTGATAATAGTTTTGGTTAATTAGCCACATATCCAGCATTTATGCCCAAATTTACATGCACTCCTACCAGATATGAGTACAGATATGCAAAGATGAATGTGATGAATAAAAAAAACGTCCATGAATTTGTGTGCACTCATCTTACGGTCAGATGTGACCATAAGCATCTTTAATGAACAAGAACCAAAGTGAGAAAAGTGAAGTAACTGAATATATGGAGGTGATGGAAAGTTAATTAACAGATAATTAGCAGGATTAACACATAAGTGCTAGTAAGTTATCACGTTACTTCTTTATATGAAGAAAAATACTTATTAGTTAATTAACAATGTAATAAGCAGCAGTTAGTACACAAATAATGAGTAAGTAAGCCACAAACTAACGACAAACTAACTTATCAACTAACAGTGTACTTAATTACTAATTGATAAGAGCTTAATCAATTACTAAGTAATAGCTAATGCTTAATGAAGAGTTAACTAATAACTAAATAATGTGAAACTAATAGTTGATTATTATATATTTAATGATTGATTAGCGATCCTTAATGTAAAGCGTTACCGATAACTTTCTATATTTGTATATTTGCAGACACATAATATTGTTCTAACAAATTCTCTCTGGGGTGAAGACTGTAAAACATGCATGTGTGGATGGGATTATGATGAGCAATAAGAAAAGAAAGGAATACCTTTCCTGAGGGGCTGATCCCACTTTGAAGGTGAGAGGTTCTGCCATTGAGTTATCACTCTTCAGGGACACACCGCTGGACACAGGGGACTTTGACCTTTTCTCAGTTCCACTGAAAAATAAGAAACAAAAGCATATTGGAAATCCAATAAAATGCAGTTATTCCCATCACAAGAAACATAGAAGTCAACAAACTAGCCGGAGGCCTTCCCAGAAAAAACTCTGCCTGGAGTTCACTAAACAGAAAGTGGGTTTAGTCTGGAACTGGTTTCTATGACCAGGTCATAAAAAAGTTCCAAAGACACCGGGAGACTTTGCTTGGATGCATGCCATCATGGACTCCACTGAATATTTCAACAGCATGTTCATGGTTTGAATACTCATTCTCAAATCCACCCTTAAAAACAATGATATTTTCATTTCTAATCAACCATGAAAATACATCATCTAGAACCCATGGGTCAAACACAATTCTATTCAGCCCACAAAAGTATTTCAGCTTGCTATTAATATTAGCCCATTTCACCATGAGCTGCACTACAGTTCCCAGCATGCACTGCAACATGACGTGTGCCCCCACCTCCCCAAAAACAATCTATGGGACAGCACCACACACACAAAAAAAAGTCAGGTGTGTAGTTCAAGCAAATGGGCAGTTTTGAAAAAAAACACTGTACACTGGGGACATTTAAAGAGGTTTAACAGTTACCTGCAGCTAATATAGTCCATTGTTTTATATAATCCTTTTGTTTTAATTCAAAATTATTTTTGAATTGTTAATGTATTCAGTGCTTGGTTTTTACCCTTGTGGTTTTGCCATACTGAGCTAAAATCCAGCTCTCTTTATCGGATTTCTAGATCTAAGAAATCGGAGTAAGCTGTTTATATCACCCTTTGAATAATCAGATGACTGCAGAAATCTGGCTATGATCGGATTATTGAGTGTATGTAAACGCACGCACAGGGAGCAAAGACTGCTACCAGTTGTTCCAAATATTGAACATATAATATAATGCTGTACTATTAGTTAGTAAATTCAGCACAACATAGCATTTTCCACTTTTGTATAAGTGCAAATACATAATACAATAGTGCTCAAAAGTAATTTTGGGATACTGCCATCATCATTTATTTCTAGAATTATTTCAATTGTTCATGTATAGTGGAAAGTGTGCTTTACCATATTGAAAAGTACATCATTTCAGCTGTATTTTGACATATTATGACTTTTCAGTTCATACTTTGGATCCAACTGAGCAATAGCACAATAGACAACATTCACCTAAAACCCCCACATTTTACTTTAAAACAAATGTTGGGAAAATAATCCAAATGCATACACGACATGTTCAAACCAGGACTACAATGCAATATCCAACATGCCTGACTCTAAATCTTTTTAATATTCTGAGAAATAAAGTTAGAAAACTATGAACATTTTTAGTTGGATTTAGCCCTCTTTGGATGGGATTAGTTTGCAGTAGGGAGGTGGGTTAATGCCAGGACGTCTGTAATGTTTATGAGTGATCCACACAGGATAATAAATCTCTGTCTAAATGACAGAGATGGAAGTGGCTACTCAAGTTATGCTCCACCTTCATTACAGAAAAGGAAAAAAAAAGATGTTAAAACAATTAATTTAGCCTTTATTTTGTTTACCCTAACCATTTACCTCGCTGTAGTATGTGTGCACGAATCACTAGCATTTCCATTAGCTTGAGAATTCACAACAGTCAGCTTCAGCACATAAAATCGAACATTTTTTTCTGTAATTTTACATGTTCTGAGTTGTACAGGTGAGAGGACCACACCGTTACATATTGGCTTGATTTTAGCCACAGTGAACGAGGCTGATGTCAGCTTCTTATTCGTCAGCTTCTTGTTCGAATTTTCCAGTTCCACCTTAAATGGTCCAGCAGTTACATTCTGGCACTTCAGGCTTTGTAATAATAACTGCCATCGCACAATTTAAGGTGGAACAGTAAAATTCAAAGAAGAAGCTGGGAAATAAGAATCTAATTTCAGCTTTGCAGAGAACAGAAGTAAACGCTTCTTCCAACCTCCATACTTAAGAAACTGCTTTTCACAGGATATAATAGCATTTTTACTGACATGTCGATTCGCATGGGATTAATATAACCTGGGGTTATTTCTACAGTTTGTTTTACTGAAGGTAAAAGGTGCCGAATCTTTACTGGCACAGGAGCGTGCAGTTGGTAAACATTACTGATATGGCGCATTCGGACAGGACTGAAGTAACTGAGAAATGGCGGTGATAATTACATTACCCCACCTCCTCATGTAAAACTAATCCCGTCCCTATAGGGCTTTAATCTGTCAAAAAATAATGCGCCTCGTTCACCAATATCTTCCGAAGTTTATTCTTAAATTTGTTCTTGAGAAACGTCCAGAGAGAAAGTCTACATTTATGACATGTTCTTAAAGCACAAAATTGTTCACACCTTTGTGCTCTTGAGTGTGTCTAGATTCAGTTCTTAGCCAAGAACAAATCCTGAATAAGAAAACATTGGTGAATGTCAGAATCTTCATAAAAACTGCCTCTGTGAGAAAATGTCTGTGAGACAGATCACAGATAAATGTTCAGTTTCACCTCGCAAACCTGGTCATTACTGCTGGTTGGTATAACTTTTCTGATGATATGAATGAGTAAATGTCTTGGAATGTACTAAATAAGCAAGTTATAAATAGCCTTCATAGGGTGTCCCAAGACTTCTTTTGAGCACTGTACATGTGTCCTAACAAATCCTCTCTGAGGAGATGACCGTAAATATGCATCTGTGGATGGGATTATGATGAGCAACAAGAAAAGAAAGAAATACCCTTCCTGATGGCCTGATCCCCCTTTAAAGGTGAGAGGTTCTGCCATTGAGTTATCACTCTTCAAGGATGCACAGCTGGACACAGGGGAGTTTGACCTTTTCTCAGTTCCACTGAAAAATAAGAAACAAAGCATATTGGAAATCCAATAAAATGCAGTTATTCCCATCACAAGAAACATAGAAGTCAACAAACTAGCCGGAGGCCTTCCCAGAAAAAACTCTGCCTGGAGTTCACTAAACAGAAAGTGGGTTTAGTCTGGAACTGGTTTCTATGACCAGGTCATAAAAAGTTCCAAAGACACCGGGAGACTTTGCTTGGATGCATGCCATCATGGACTCCACTGAATATTTCAACAGCATGTTCATGGTTTGAATACTCATTCTCAAATCCACCCTTAAAAACAATGATATTTTCATTTCTAATCAACCATGAAAATACATCATCTAGAACCCATGGGTCAAACACAATTCTATTCAGCCCACAAAAGTATTTCAGCTTGCTATTAATATTAGCCCATTTCACCATGAGCTGCACTACAGTTCCCAGCATGCACTGCAACATGACGTGTGCCCCCACCTCCCCAAAAACAATCTATGGGACAGCACCACACACACAAAAAAAAGTCAGGTGTGTAGTTCAAGCAAATGGGCAGTTTTGAAAAAAAAACACTGTACACTGGGGACATTTAAAGAGGTTTATCAGTTACCTGCAGCTAATATAGTCCATTGTTTTATATAATCCTTTTGTTTTAATTCAAAATTATTTTTGAATTGTTAATGTATTCAGTGCTTGGTTTTTACCCTTGTGGTTTTGCCATACTGAGCTAAAATCCAGCTCTCTTTATCGGATTTCTAGATCTAAGAAATCGGAGTAAGCTGTTTATATCACCCTTTGAATAATCAGATGACTGCAGAAATCTGGCTATGATCGGATTATTGAGTGTATGTAAACGCACGCACAGGGAGCAAAGACTGCTACCAGTTGTTCCAAATATTGAACATATAATATAATGCTGTACTATTAGTTAGTAAATTCAGCACAACATAGCATTTTCCACTTTTGTATAAGTGCAAATACATAATACAATAGTGCTCAAAAGTAATTTTGGGATACTGCCATCATCATTTATTTCTAGAATTATTTCAATTGTTCATGTATAGTGGAAAGTGTGCTTTACCATATTGAAAAGTACATCATTTCAGCTGTATTTTGACATATTATGACTTTTCAGTTCATACTTTGGATCCAACTGAGCAATAGCACAATAGACAACATTCACCTAAAACCCCCACATTTTACTTTAAAACAAATGTTGGGAAAATAATCCAAATGCATACACGACATGTTCAAACCAGGACTACAATGCAATATCCAACATGCCTGACTCTAAATCTTTTTAATATTCTGAGAAATAAAGTTAGAAAACTATGAACATTTTTAGTTGGATTTAGCCCTCTTTGGATGGGATTAGTTTGCAGTAGGGAGGTGGGTTAATGCCAGGACGTCTGTAATGTTTATGAGTGATCCACACAGGATAATAAATCTCTGTCTAAATGACAGAGATGGAAGTGGCTACTCAAGTTATGCTCCACCTTCATTACAGAAAAGGAAAAAAAAGATGTTAAAACAATTAATTTAGCCTTTATTTTGTTTACCCTAACCATTTACCTCGCTGTAGTATGTGTGCACGAATCACTAGCATTTCCATTAGCTTGAGAATTCACAACAGTCAGCTTCAGCACATAAAATCGAACATTTTTTTCTGTAATTTTACATGTTCTGAGTTGTACAGGTGAGAGGACCACACCGTTACATACTGGCTTGATTTTAGCCACAGTGAACGAGGCTGATGTCAGCTTCTTATTCGTCAGCTTCTTGTTCGAATTTTCCAGTTCCACCTTAAATGGTCCAGCAGTTACATTCTGGCACTTCAGGCTTTGTAATAATAACTGCCATCGCACAATTTAAGGTGGAACAGTAAAATTCAAAGAAGAAGCTGGGAAATAAGAATCTAATTTCAGCTTTGCAGAGAACAGAAGTAAACGCTTCTTCCAACCTCCATACTTAAGAAACTGCTTTTCACAGGATATAATAGCATTTTTACTGACATGTCGATTCGCATGGGATTAATATAACCTGGGGTTATTTCTACAGTTTGTTTTACTGAAGGTAAAAGGTGCCGGAATCTTTACTGGCACAGGAGCGTGCAGTTGGTAAACATTACTGATATGGCGCATTCGGACAGGACTGAAGTAACTGAGAAATGGCGGTGATAATTACATTACCCCACCTCCTCATGTAAAACTAATCCCGTCCCTATAGGGCTTTAATCTGTCAAAAAATAATGCGCCTCGTTCACCAATATCTTCCGAAGTTTATTCTTAAATTTGTTCTTGAGAAACGTCCAGAGAAAAAGTCTACATTTATGACATGTTCTTAAAGCACAAAATTGTTCACACCTTTGTGCTCTTGAGTGTGTCTAGATTCAGTTCTTAGCCAAGAACAAATCCTGAATAAGAAAACATTGGTGAATGTCAGAATCTTCATAAAAACTGCCTCTGTGAGAAAATGTCTGTGAGACAGATCACAGATAAATGTTCAGTTTCACCTCGCAAACCTGGTCATTACTGCTGGTTGGTATAACTTTTCTGATGATATGAATGAGTAAATGTCTTGGAATGTACTAAATAAGCAAGTTATAAATAGCCTTCATAGGGTGTCCCAAGACTTCTTTTGAGCACTGTACATGTGTCCTAACAAATCCTCTCTGAGGAGATGACCGTAAATATGCATCTGTGGATGGGATTATGATGAGCAACAAGAAAAGAAAGAAATACCCTTCCTGATGGCCTGATCCCCCTTTAAAGGTGAGAGGTTCTGCCATTGAGTTATCACTCTTCAAGGATGCACAGCTGGACACAGGGGAGTTTGACCTTTTCTCAGTTCCACTGAAAAATAAGAAACAAAAGCATATTGGAAATCCAATAAAATGCAGTTATTCCCATCACAAGAAACATAGAAGTCAACAAACTAGCCGGAGGCCTTCCCAGAAAAAACTCTGCCTGGAGTTCACTAAACAGAAAGTGGGTTTAGTCTGGAACTGGTTTCTATGACCAGGTCATAAAAAAGTTCCAAAGACACCGGGAGACTTTGCTTGGATGCATGCCATCATGGACTCCACTGAATATTTCAACAGCATGTTCATGGTTTGAATACTCATTCTCAAATCCACCCTTAAAAACAATGATATTTTCATTTCTAATCAACCATGAAAATACATCATCTAGAACCCATGGGTCAAACACAATTCTATTCAGCCCACAAAAGTATTTCAGTATTTTTGTCCTGTTGGGCTTCCAGATGTGGACAGCCATGGGATCAGTGGGGTTTAAACTCATAAGCTCCTGATGTTGGGGTGACTTTGTTGGGGTGCCCATTGCTTTACATGTTACTGGATTACTTTTCAAAATTAAAATAATAAAATAACAAACAAACAAATTAAGTTGTGATTCTGAACTCCAGCAATGCCATTGCTACCTATAACTGAGAGCCCAAGAGGATAAAATGCCTGGAGTGTTTGTCTGATGAAAAAGAGCCCCATCTAGTGGGGAAATAGAGTAAAACCATACTAAAAAGGTGCGTTAAGAGAACTTTTGACTACACTAAGAAGAACACTAGTTTCCTCAAGTTCAGAACTACAGAAAAGTAGTGAAATCAGTTTCCAGTTACTTTTCATTTTTAAGTGTATCAATCCCAGCTTTTAATATCCCACAGACACTTACTGAGACACTTCTATGAGCATGTGTCGTTGGGCATTGCATTTCTATGTGCAGTAATATGTTAAATGTGTTAGAGCAAAGATGTTGTTCTTATTAACTATAAAAGTAATTTAGTAAAACATTAAAATGTTTAAATAGAAGGACAGAAGTTTTCAGTATTTTACTTGCTTACCTTAGGCTCTGTCTGTGCTCCTCCTGGAGACTCATTTCAGAGTCTTTCATTTTTCCATATTCATCCGCCATTATTTCAGTAAAGTAAGCGTATGGAGGATCTCAGTTGCATCAACCATCAGCACTAAATCTGCTGACTTGGCCATTCAGCTTCATCTGGCGGGAAAGTAACAGGAAAATCTGAAATGGTTCTGTTTATTCGATTATCAGTCTTATACTGTATAATTACATTTTACATTTCTGGCTATTAAATTCATAATACAAATACATGAGACAAAAATACTTTAATTTTTTTGTTTTCATTGTAAAATTGTCCCGCAGAAATACTAGTTATTTAGGAATTGAAAATTTAAAGTAAAGCATTAATTCTGATTTTGCATGTGAGGAAAAGAAATGTGGCATTTTCACAAGAACACTAAACTGCTGTTTCAAACAGGAAGCTACACTTGGGCGCCAGGGGGGTGGGGGATGTGGGGGGTTGGAGAGGAGGGTGAGGGGTTTCCTGCTCATATTTACCAAAGAAGGCAATAGCACAAGTAGCATTTGCTTTGTTTATCCCCTTGAGTATGTTAGTGGCACATGGTTTAGTAACGGAAAATAAGAGGTCATTTCCACATTTTATATAACCTCTTTGTAGAATATCTGCATATGATCAGTGAATCACATCTTTTGTTGAACTCTCAATATAAACATATGAATTAATAAATAAGTAAATCTTCTGCATTTTTTTTATAATTCAATTCCAGATTAAATACACTAACCAGCCAAAATGTTCTAGCCTGTTTTGTATTTATTTATTTGTTTTATTTTACAAGGATAAGCTCCTGATAAGAAATCAAAAACTCTGCAAATCGCCTCTCTGGTTATGTTTTCGCTTTTATACCAATTTCTTCTTTATATAAAATATAATTGCTATCCACACTGTTGGCAAAGCATGGCTGTAATTTTTTATCATATTTAAAGACTTATTTTTTAAATAGTTCTTTTTATTTTTTACTTTTTTACAGAAATTATTTTATGGTGCATACGACATAACAGCTTTAGTCCAAAGTTGTTTTCTATTTTAAAAGGAAATTATCTCTATTAAAACTGCTATTTATAGTTCAGAAAAGAGACACACATGAGAGACACAACCACGTTTTGAAATAGAAAAAAAAAACAAGAATAGACGTGAATAAGACGTGCATTTGACTTGAAAACTGCACTTTGATTGAGCTTCCTTATCGGTTTTTGCGGCCTTGGGTAAACTACTGATCGAAACTGATGATTCATGTGCATTAAACACTACAAGACATCATGGCTAACGTTTACACAATGAATGTAGCTGTAGGAATTTAGTCTTTCTTACCTTTTCCTCCAGTTCTGTGTGGACTAATAGGTTCGTCTGATTTAGAGAAAAGGAGATGATAACGCTAAAATCGATGTTCGGTCATATTCGCTGTTTATCTCTGGCACTACGAAGCGGAAAAGTCGCGCACATCCTTTGTGCAGCGGCCCTTCACTCTTTGAAGTGATGTGTCGTTCGCGAACGAGCCGACTCCTTGAACCGACTCGCACTGAGGAACCGTATTTTCTATTATATCAATATTATTAAGTAAAACCAAACAAAAAGAGCCTATGTCGCTGTACCTGACCCCTCTCATATGCCATCTTGGAACACACCGCCCCCGTTATACCCAAAACCGCTGCTTTGTTGTGTTGGTTTGAATCTGGCTTTGTTCTTAGCCTTTTTTTTTATGTAATTCCTGCTTTTGTTTGTTGATGACTTGTCGATGGATTTGTCTGCATTTGCCCGTCTGCTTATCTTGTGATTTATGCCTCTGGAAGTTCGTCCAGCGAAAGCATTTATTGAAATTTACATTACAGTTAATATCGCTAACTTCTGACAACGAAGAGCCGTTCTGGAGCAGAAAGAGTCGGATCTTAGTGATGAGCTGAGCCGATTGATCCGACTCACTGAAAAGAACCAGTATGCCCTCCACTAACTTTCAGTTTCCTTTTCTTGTCAAGCACGCTCGCATTCAGCGCAGTGGTGGGCTGCGGTCCTCCCAGTGGGCTGTGGCGTATTGCAAGCGAGCCATTGGCTGTTTTTTATTGTAGATTTTTTAAATCGCAAAACTTTGTTACATATATAGACATTTAACCAAACAATTTTAAATAGGTCAAATATGATTGCTGTGATTATTATATGCAAAAATAAAAAATAAATAAAACAGTATTTAGGATGAGGTCGTTGATTGCTGGTCTGGCAAAATACATGACCTAAGTGACAGACAGAGACGGAGCGCATCGAGTCATCAGGGGGAAAACCACACCCCTATATACAGATATTACAATAGGCATTGGAGATGTTAACGAATATCAGCCGAATTATATATATATAAATATATATATATATATATATATATATATATATATATATATATATAGATAGATAGATAGATATTATAGAATTATATATATTATAGAATTATGTATATTATAGAATTATAAATGTATATATAGATATATATAGATATATATTATAGAATTATATATATTATAGAATTATATACATTATAGAATTATAAATGTACAATATAATATGTAAATTTATTTAATATATATCTACATATATATATATATATATATATATATATATATATATATATATATATGATTTTCAAACAAAAAAGCTGCTTTTAATGCAGCTAATATATATGTATATATGTGTATAATATATAATATAATAAATATAATATATACACACACACTTTAAACTGTTCAACAATACAGTGTATTTATGCTTATAAAAATTCTACCAAAATACATTGTTCAGAATATTTAAAAAAAAAATTCTATCCTAATGGGAGTGGTCTCCTCCAGTCTAAAATGTGAGTATGAAAATGATAGAAACCACATGCTAAGGCCTATACAGAGATGTGTAGAATCTATAACAAGGAGCACTGAAGATGTTCTTGGGTCTTGTAGTGGCCCAAAACCTTGCTAAGATATTATTTTTCGTTTTTCCTTTGTTATGAGTTAAATTGTTAACAGTTAAATGTTATGACACATCTGGTTAAATGTGTTGATGAAAATTTTAAATCTATTTTATATAAAGACTTAAGCTTGAAATTTGTTTCTAAGATAAATATGTATAGTGAAGATATATGAATTATTAATTTATTTCCCAAAAAATAAAAATATTGTTCTTCAGTCCTGTTGAAAAGCATAAGGGACAGGAGGATTTAGTGAGAAGAGTAAAAAATAATATTGAGATGTTTGCTCTCTCTCTCTCTCTCTCTCTCTATATATATATATATATATAACTATGTGTAAGTTTTATATATATATATATATATATATATATATATATATATATATATATATATATATATATATATATATAACTGTGTGTAATTGTGTAATTCTTAAGTCTTTGTATACTATGAGAGATTCAATACACTGATTCAAAACGGAAAAAGGAAATTCAGAGATAAATAGACCTATTTAGCTGAACATTTTGGCAGGAAGTCTCCGATTTAGCTGGTTTTAGAGAGCACATTAAAGTCAATCTGTTATCAGCTATGAAGTTAACGGAATATTTCCCCCCATTATTTGCATCCAAACAACATTAATCACAAATGGTGTGACGTTATTGCTAGGATCTTGTTTCGTTCAGTATGACAGTAAAAGTGAGCAAAACCAGATACATAACTGCATTAAACCTACTAAAACTGTTAGATGCTTTCGTCTAATTTAGTCAGCTGTGAACCTAGAAAATAAGTATTTGTTCCTACTGCTATAAACTTTGTCAAATAACATACTTAATGCTTTACGTTTCTGAACTCTTTTTGTTTATGTAATAAATCCACCATTTTAGTGGAGTGGTAGTGGAGCTCCAGTCTCCTTAGCAATGGCCATTTAGATAGAGCTGCTTGGGTTCCATGGAGGTCATGGGTTTGGTTCCTGTGTTCATGTAGTGAGAGAGAATCAGGACACAGCTGTTCATACATAAACATGTTGGCAGTGATTTAACATTACTGAATTGGGTTCTGCATTTTGTTTGTTTATATATACCAAGGCATAAGTATCCCACCTAGCAAATATATTCTGGCCCAGATCTGGCTTAATTCCGCCAGTTTTTCCGGCCCAGATCTGGCTGCCGAATGTGAGCCGTCTCTAGGCCATAACTGAGCCAGAACTTGCAGAGGCACCATCATTTCCCCCGTGTCTTTCCCAGCAGACAGTCGACAGTGCCAAAAATCAGCCAACAGACAGCCAGAACTAGGCCAGATGAACATAAAGCTTAATATGTAGTTAAAATACAAGTAACATTCATAATAATTACCAAATAAATTGAAGTCTCTTTTAAATTTACATGCCAATAGTGAATTAATGAATGCCATCTAGATTATATATATAAAAAAAATGTAAAGCCACAAAACATGAGCTGAGAGTTGACCACTAGAATCAACAACAATGTCCTAAAACAGAAAAAAGACAACACTAATGAAAATTTTAGATATTTTAATAATTATGATCACAAATATACATTCTTAATTCATACAAAATTAGCTTGTTTGAATTAAAATTGACATTTATAAACACTTAAACAACTGTCAGTTTATTGAAATTGGTGACTTTTATACAGATCTCCATAAAATAAGCAAATAAATGAATCCCATTCAAGTGCAAACTAGAACCATCTCTTGATGAATCTTTCAATGTTTCCATCAATGGCTTTGCTACCAGGAGGGTTCCTCTTTACAGCAACTGTTCAGGAAGAGAAAAAAAAAATCCCAGTTAAGGTCAGTGGTGGACAAAGTACATAAACCATGTACTTGAGTTAAAGTAGAAATACTCAACGCAAAATATTACTTCAGTAAAAGTAGAAGTTCCTCCCTTTAGACCTCCACTTGAGTAAAAGTTCAAAAGTATTTGCCTTCAAGTGTACTTAAGTATCGTAAGTAAAAGTACTAAAAGATTAATTAACTTAATCAAACTTAGTTAGAAGTTTAAGTTGAATAAAAACTTGCTTTAAACTCAGGTTCTCAAATGTATTTTCCTTTACTATATTGCATCTGTAGGTCTCTTCATAAACATAAACTAGCAAAAGCGAATTTACTATAAAATGAAATGTTTGTATAAATTCAGAAAAAAGACACGTCAGTCACAACTGCATATGTGTATATATCTCTGTATTGTGGTCTATTTACACAAAGTTAGGTTAGTTTATCATTTATGTTGAATAGACTCTCCCAAAATTTTACACTGCTGCACTGACGTTGAACCGTGTGCTTGCACTGGGTCGGTATGACCAACAGGTAAGTAAGTAAGTAGTAAGTAAAGTTCATTTATATAGCGCTTTTTACAACAGGTGTTGTCACAAAGCAGCTGTGGCGACAGTGGCAAGGAAAAACTCCCTAAGAGAAACAGGCAGAAACCTTGAGAGGAACCAGGACTCAGAAGGGGAACCCATCCTCCTCTGGTCGACACCGGATAGTAAACATTGTTAGTATAAAATATTATAGTACAAAAACAGGGTAAAGGTGAAGGAAACAATTAATTTGAATAATTTAGTTCATGCAGCAGCAGCGGCAGCATCAGCAGCATCAGTGGGGTCAGGTTGTGGGGGTGAGGTTTGCACGGCGAGCAGTGGCACCCGATCAAGGCAGCAGCATCAGCATCAGGATGTGCAGCTGTTCAACTCGGCAAAGGAAAGAGAGGAAAAACACAGAGTCAGTTCTACAATGGGTGATGGATTAATTTGAATTAGTTTGAATGATTGATTGGTTCAAGTGATAAATTTTGAATAGTTCATGCAGCAACAGCAGTAGTATCAGTGGGGTCAGGTTGTGAGGGTGAGGTTTGCACGGCGTTGTACAGCAGGAGGCTCAATGTTGATATGCCGGTCCAGAGGGCTGGCGAGCAGTGGCACCCGATCAAGGCAGAAAAATCAGAACGCACAGGATGGGTAGCTGTTCAACTCGGCGAAGAAAAGAAAGGAAAAACAAACAGAGAGTCAGTTCTGTAATGGGTGACTGATCACAGATTAAAGTGTTAGCAGAGCAGCGGAGACTCTGGCAGGTATAGAACTAACAGGGAAAACTAATTACCTAAGGCTTGCCTATACAAGTGAGTTTTTAGCTTAGACTTAAACACTGAGGCTGGGTCTGAGTCCCGAACATTAACAGGAAGACTATTCCAAAGCTGGGGGGCTTTGTATGAGAAAGCTCTCCCCCCTGACGTAACATTATTAATTCTGGGTAATACTAGTAAGCCAGCACCTTGTGATCTAAGTAGGCGTGATGGTTCATAGTGAGAGAGCAGTTCACTCAGGTACTGAGGGGCGAGTCCGTTCAGAGATTTATAAGTCAGCAAGAGAATTTTATAATCAATGCGAAATTTAACTGGCCACCAGTGTAAGGCTGATAAAACTGGGCTGATATGGTTGAACTTTCTGGTTCTTGTAAGGACTCTGGCTGCAGCGTTCTGGACCAACTGAAGCTTGT